GGAAGTGCAGTCACCTCTGAATGGTTGTAGAAGGCTGGCATGTCGTTCCATCTCCATCATCTTCATAATAAAGTTTTCGAATAAATTACTGTCGTTAGCACCATTGACAGCAACACCAGATGTGAACAGTGAGGTTTCACTGTGATACAGCCTTGTCAGTTTGTTTGAACAAGGCCTTATGATGGAAAGAAAAAAGAGATGGGGACCTAGGACCGGGCTTCCGCAAACGTTCACGGAAGTTACTACTTTAACGCTCAATAAGACAATCTGGATAAAAGCTTGCAACATGGACGCCGCTGATATCTGCTAGCTGTCATGTCTTTCAGTATCTCCAACCAAGCACTCGGAGGTCACATGAATTTCATCCTGGGATGCGAACAGCGTCAACAACACCTAAACCTTTTTCAACTTCCTTCTGCTGTCTCAAGTTCCGTTCACCTATAAGTATCAGCCACTCCGAGTCAGGAACGGAAAACAGCCCTCGTAACGCATGGCCCATCTACCTTAGCTTGCAGTATCCGATGCATTTTTCGGGTGAAATACCATCTACTTCACCAAAAAACCGTTTCCTTATAACCTTATTTTGAATTACTTGGTTTTAGCGGACTCCATGTCTCTGAGGATGAGAGATTATGATATATTCCGCCAAACGGACCAAGTTTAGCTGCCATTCAACAACACATCCGCATAGCAATCCTTTGGGACCCATCAATATGCTATTTTAATACTGCTAGTGGTGCAAATCAGTAAAGGCAGTTCTGGCCTTTAAGATTCGCCGTTAATTTCGCCCTTCACACTAACATAAGAGCCGATGCAACTTCTGGTGTACGTTGTATTCCATAGTTTCCATTGTCACTCCTTGAATACCCAGAAACCTGTTCAACGCCCTGCAGTTTGCACCTGAGGGACACGAAGCACATGTCGGGTCAGCGTTTCCTGCTATTTTTCAAAATTGATAGCAATGTTGTCTGCATATTCCAGGTTGCTGTGTTTTGCAGACTAGTGCTTGACCTCGGGATCCTGGTTGACACGGAGAAATCTGAACATCGGCGTTTTTGGAGATCCTTAATTCACTCAGCTAATCTGATCTAATGGTGGAATTACGCAAAAATGGAGAGAGGTGACACCCTTGCCGGACATCGCTGTTTATAGGCTCTCCAGACAAAATCACGTGCCCACAGCATATGAATGCAAGCGTTGCATGATATTCACGAAATTTCGGGACATATCCTGTTGCGAAAGTGTCTTGAAAAGTGCAAGCCGATCGCTAGATTTGGATGCACTCTTGAAGTCAAGAAAGACGGATATTTTTGGATGCCTTTGCGCATGCCATTACTATAGCACCTGACGGATTGTGAAAATGTGACACCTCATCGGCTGGAATCCTGTTTGCCGTCATCCGATCCTGTCTTCGTGAGCTTTCGTAAGAAGACGTTTAACAGCGATGCAGAGAATCTGGTTATATCGGGAGTCCAGCTAATTTGTATGTCATTATCAAACTCACTGTGCTCACACTTTTCGAAAACAAGTCAGGACTATCGACTCATCTAATTTAGTTTGGTAGATCTCTTTGGGTCTAATAGAGGCAAACAATTTAGACATACACTGACTGAGCAATCCACGCCCATCTTCAAACAGAGCAGGTGGGGGTTTCATCAGGACCAACAGTTCAGTTACGCTTATGGGGCAAAAGTCACTCGTTTATTTCTGAAGCCATTTGGGGGAATCCGAATGAGAGACTTCAATTGGCCAGTTGAATTAATGCTGAAGGTACTCAACTCAACGATTCAAGCGTTATCCTTTGGAAATGAGCGAGTCATTTTTTACTGATCGTTTCACTAACCGGAGGCTCGGGCCCAGTTGCGCGTACTGGTAAGACTAATTTTCTGCCACGTCGATTGGCTCTTCTGCAAACCTCAGGTTTTGGTTTGATTCCACCCAATTTTTTAGCAGCACCTTAAGCTTTGCGGGTGCGAGAAGCATGCCAAATAGTAAGGCATAACTGTTCAGGTTGCTTAAAATGAATTGCACCTCTGAAGAATTCGAATCCAGAAGAGATATCAGCTGCCCACTTGGTGTGTGAAATAAACACCCGAAGAGCACTTCGATCCCCCGGGTTTTAGTGGCAGGCAGAGCAGTTTCAAGCAGCACAGCAATAACTGGGTTGAAGGAGAAATGCGGAACGGGAAGGCCTTTTCTCAAACCACTGGACGTGATGAGCTCAGGTAAAGCTTACTGTATATTTGAAGGCGCCCACAGTGTCTTCATAATGAATATAAACGTGGAAGAGACACCTTTGGTCGCTGAGCACCACCAAAACTTCCGAAGATCGACAGAGTCGAAAGCAGCTTTCGAATCCAGAAAGATGGTTTGAAAGAGGACGCTGTTAAAGAACTTGTTTCAAGGTAAAGATGTGGTTGCTACATCCTCAGCTGAGGAGAAATGCAGTTTGATTCTCAAGCACCTGACGGATTGTGAAAATGTGACACCTCATCGGCTGGAATCCTGTTTGCCGTCATCCGATCCTGTCTTCGTGAGCTTTCGTAAGAAGACGTTTAACAGCGATGCAGAGAATCTGGTTATATCGGGAGTCCAGCTAATTTGTATGTCATTATCAAACTCACTGTGCTCACACTTTTCGAAAACAAGTCAGGACTATCGACTCATCTAATTTAGTTTGGTAGATCTCTTTGGGTCTAATAGAGGCAAACAATTTAGACATACACTGACTGAGCAATCCACGCCCATCTTCAAACAGAGCAGGTGGGGGTTTCATCAGGACCAACAGTTCAGTTACGCTTATGGGGCAAAAGTCACTCGTTTATTTCTGAAGCCATTTGGGGGAATCCGAATGAGAGACTTCAATTGGCCAGTTGAATTAATGCTGAAGGTACTCAACTCAACGATTCAAGCGTTATCCTTTGGAAATGAGCGAGTCATTTTTTACTGATCGTTTCACTAACCGGAGGCTCGGGCCCAGTTGCGCGTACTGGTAAGACTAATTTTCTGCCACGTCGATTGGCTCTTCTGCAAACCTCAGGTTTTGGTTTGATTCCACCCAATTTTTTAGCAGCACCTTAAGCTTTGCGGGTGCGAGAAGCATGCCAAATAGTAAGGCATAACTGTTCAGGTTGCTTAAAATGAATTGCACCTCTGAAGAATTCGAATCCAGAAGAGATATCAGCTGCCCACTTGGTGTGTGAAATAAACACCCGAAGAGCACTTCGATCCCCCGGGTTTTAGTGGCAGGCAGAGCAGTTTCAAGCAGCACAGCAATAACTGGGTTGAAGGAGAAATGCGGAACGGGAAGGCCTTTTCTCAAACCACTGGACGTGATGAGCTCAGGTAAAGCTTACTGTATATTTGAAGGCGCCCACAGTGTCTTCATAATGAATATAAACGTGGAAGAGACACCTTTGGTCGCTGAGCACCACCAAAACTTCCGAAGATCGACAGAGTCGAAAGCAGCTTTCGAATCCAGAAAGATGGTTTGAAAGAGGACGCTGTTAAAGAACTTGTTTCAAGGTAAAGATGTGGTTGCTACATCCTCAGCTGAGGAGAAATGCAGTTTGATTCTCACAAGGGACGAGATGGCTCAGTGGTTAGAGTGCGAATTTACTGACAGGAAGGTCCGTGGGTCGAACCGGACCTCTGTCTCTCGACTTCCCCTGTCTAGGCTTGGGCAACCTGGCAGTATTTCAACCCTCGTGCTTCCTTTGGATGGCTTGGTAGCTAGGCAACGAATGGGTGCCACAGCTGAACCATTATTATTATTATGATTCTCACGAATTCGTCTCCCACTATTCTATCAACCCACGCTAAATTACGCGAGCGAGTACCTTGGGTGTGTTATCTACCAGGCGTATGCCACGGTGGTTTTTGCACTGCGTTCCTGCGCTTTTTGAAAACTGCGATCCCGGGCGAGGTGCTCAATTCCACCGGTATTTTGTTTGCATCCCACATCTTTCGCAGTATCCTTGTCAGTTCGTTGACCAGAGCCCCAATACTTACTTTGAAAAGTGCGGAGTGAAGATCATCCGTGCTAGGTGCCTGGTTGCATTGAAAAACTGGTATCTCGCGCTTAATTTTTTGTTATTCATGGCTGGTGGTTCGGTTCGTTTGGTCCTTCCAGAGGTTGCATTGAAGGGGGCCAGCTGGATTGCTCTTTGAAGTGTTCAGCTCATCGCTCAAGACAACGGTTTTACGAGTAAATTGCCGTTCCTTCTTTTTCGCGTACTTTTCAGTATTTTTTGGTGAATTTTGTGCGATTTCCATTTCCATGTCCCCTATACACTCATTACAGTTTGGCTACTTAAACTCGGGGAATTGAAGAACCTCTTTCGGTTGTAAACGGGCTTCTGCAGTATGTTCCGGGGTTTACATCTGGGGCAGCCAGACAATGGAGTTTTTCTGGAAAGCAACAATGGCCTTATTTATTTGATGTCAGAAATGGAAAAAGCCACTGTGAAAAAATGATCTCTTTTGTTCTGTGTACGGCTGCAGGAACTGTGCTTTCCAATGTTTCCGTCCTCATCGTGGTTTCTCCTCTTCCCTCTGTGGGCATTCTTACCTAAGACGAGTGACTGGACGATGTAGTTCACAAACCTACGTCATTTTCCTGGCCAGCGACCATTTTCCCCATAAAGTGGGATGTTATCGTGCGCGCGACCAATACGAAAGAAGCCCGCATGCTTCTTTTATACGGTTGTCCAATGTAGACACCGCGTGTGCCACGGTTCATGTCAACGCTGAACACTTACGTTATTGGCATAAATATAATCACAATACTCTTGTTAGGGTTAGTTCACTGATGGTTTCTTTTTACAGCTCGCGGCAACTAACCAACATGACCGTTTTTCCATGGCGAACCACAACCCGATAAATTTGTTTATCTGGTTTCTGACTAAAGGAAAGCTTTTGGATACCGTCAGTCTGACTTTCTGAAACCCTGTGCCATTCTACACAATTCACTCTGCCAACGCTGCCACCACCGTCGCCATATGAGGTGTTGTAGAAAGAAGAATGCCTCTCCCACAACCCGGACCATATATCCATCGACGACAGTGCATTTTGATGAGCACGGCCAGGCTTTCAACCCAAATGCGCAGTTTGCTAACAATCGCATACGTACAACAAAGTACTCCATTTGGACCTTTCTGCCGCTAAATCTGTGGGAGCAATTCCATCGACTCGCAAACGTCTATTTTGTGTTTATTCTCATCTTAAATTTTATGCCCGGTATCGATGCGTTTGCGAAGGAGGTTGCCCCTATTCCTGTAATACTCACTCTGGCAGTGATTGCAATCAAAGATGGCTATGAGGACTTCCGCAGACACCTCTCGGACAGACGCGTCAATCGAAGAACGTGTAAAGTGTTCTCTCTGTACGTCTCTATCAAATTCTGTGTGTCTACATTTCGTGCATACTCTGTCGAATTATGCTTAACTGCTAAAACTGTCTCAATTAATATATTTGTCATAATACTTTCGTGCCCAAAGGGCTTTTCCTTCGTCACACTGAGGAAATTGCATTCAAACACACTTCGTAATCTTTATCTGAATTTGCTAGTGGCATGTTATCAGCATGCGAACAGGGAAAAGCCATTGATTGAACTTCAATTTTGTCAGCCAGCACTCGAGTTATCCCACGAGTACTGTGCTAATCCGATCACCTGAATAGTTAACTAGAAACCGTAGCTAGTCAAGTAAAAAAGCCTTATTGACCACGATGAATTTGCAGCTTAGAATATGATTTTGATTCAAAACAATTATAGGTATTTCCTAAGAGCAAGCAAGCGGGTGTAATGACTAGAAATGCATTTCCTGATTAAGCAAGATGAGTCAGGAATACTAAGTAATCGATTGGTTTTTAGTTTACCGTCCTCGTTCACCATATGTGCTTACGTAACTACCTCAGTTGTAGTGTATCCTTTCTTGTATAGTAGTTTTTGACCAGGTCCATCCACTGAGCTCGGTAATTAGCCTGCAAGCGCTTCCCCACCAATCGACGAGATGGCTGATGCTGTTTCCTCAATTGATGACGAAGCCTTCGCAGCCTAATTGTCAAGCTCGGCGACCAGATCAACCGCTACCAGATCAGCAATCAGTAACAATGCAGTAACTACCAATATTTCGACCCACTGGCAACGTCGAACCTTATGCTTTGTATTCCTTTTCTTCCATACTCTGAACAGAGAAAAGGCCTCTTATGTCGATACACGGTGGGAAAGTATTCTTCCAGGCGACTTTGTCCGTTTGCACACTAACGAGATGATCCCGGCTGATGTGCTTCTGTTGCATTCGTCCAATGTTGCTGGTATCTGCCATATAGAGACTGCCAACTTGGATGGTGAATCGAATCTGAAACAGCGCGAATTGCTCGACCGTCAGTGTTCAAAAGTTAGTCCCTTCCCATCTCACTTCCAATGCGATTTGTATTCTCTGTATGAACAATGCATTTGAGATATCCGTTCGATAACAGTCGAATCGTTGCAATATTTTATTATCAGCGGAGGGAAAACGAAAACGATCGATTTGGCGAGTTGACAGACTCAGTCGAACCCCATATTCTATACAACCTCACTACCGTAGTTCCCCACCAATTCAGGCTCCACACCATATGACGAAGTTTCGTGAATGTGCGACGGGGTGATTGAAAACCCTAACACCATATTGTAGCTGCTTATTTTCGGAGTTTGAAGCTGCCGAAACGCTGATTTCATTTGAAAGTTAGTATAAAAACGAATCTATGTGTGACCTTAAAATAGACAGAATTTTCAGCAGCCTTATGAGTAGTGTCTACAGAGTATGGAGAATTTATCACAGAAGTACATATGTACCAATAACATATGGCTATAGTTCACACAAATTAGGAGAGCGTTTTCTCGGGAATTCATTGAAATAAAGAAAACATACAGGTCGGCCTATTTAAAGTAGCATTTTTCATCTTGTTCATTTCAGCTTATATTTATATCACTAAGTCAGTTAACCGAATTTCTTTAAGTTTATGTTATAAAACATGAAGGTGTGTTACTTTCTTCAATCTTACCTGTAAACAAGAACTTTATAGGCCTGTGAAGCATTTTCTAACGCAAATTTGTTAGGTTCCAGTGGAAATTGGCGGATCAGTGAGTCCACAAATCTGGAGGTTTGTTTCTGAGGGACAATGATGTGATACAGAGTTTTCAACACTAAAAACTTATCTCAGCACAAATGGGTGCTGAAATTATTGATAACCTTGCTTGCAGAGCATAGATCGATGGGTTACTTGGTACGCTTGACTGACTCAAGAATGCACAGTTCTTGTGAGACTCTGTGTTTTCATCGCTGTTCTGTAGAGGTTGAATTTCATTCTAAAATATTTCTTCTTTAAGGTGTGTGGCAGTTACTTGCTGGCTCATGGGTAAGCTGTAGAATGATACGCAGTGCTATACGCATATGCGCTGTCACACAAACCAAACTTTAACTGTTTTCCTTGAAGGAAACTAGTCATAAAGTTCCTGGAAACTCTTCGACAGCTCAGTAAGTAGACGTGGTTCCCGAGTTTCCATCATCTTTATGTTCTACTCGAACCCGAAACGGACAGAATTTGCGAACTACACTCATTTGTACACTAAGTCGGCTCTAACAGGAAACTCAACTGAAACGTTTATGACGTCCTTCAACTGAATATGCTGCACATGGGCAACCTGACGTTTCAGTTGGTATGATGTTCAAGATATCAGAGTATATTTTCTTGAAAGGGACTTCTCACATTCGTCCGAAGAGTATTACTGGGATTCACTTGAATCTCCTGGTAAAACCAAACTGGTGTGCAAATGAGTACAGTTCGTTAATTTTAAGTTGTTCGACCAGCAAATCTTTGCTTGAACGAGCGCAACTTGTCGCGTCTTTCTTGCCTTTGCAATTGTTGGTTGATTTACTGAAATGTCTGAAATAATTGGGCCCCATTACTCGACTTACATCCGAGAGCCAGAACTTCTGGACAATACCAAACCTACTGTGAGTGAATCACAAGCGAGTATCACAATGTCACCACTGAACGAGGCGATCGTCTGTTGAGCACTGTAGCCGAATCGTCCTGACATATAGAACAAGTAATTAGATCGGTAAGCGCTCCAACTGGTCCACCCTTTGGTGGATTGTCTGATATGCCGTACATGTAGTGGTCGTAACTGCTTGGTTATCGACGATATCCTTCCTCAACGTCAATCCATCTTGTTCCTCTCCTTCATTTCAGGAGGCCTTTTCCCCTCTAAGCTTCACTTTTCCCGCCGAAGTCGAGTCACCCAGTTCTGAGCTGTACAAATTCAACGGGAAATTGTAAGTTCAACTCAGAGGGTAGTTAGTTGCATCATATTTGACGATTTTTCATGATCCTGGTTAAATAAGATGTCTCCGAATAAATCTGGTGGAATGGTATGCAGTAGGACATCTTATCTCTTGACCTAGTCCTTACAGTCAACCAGACGTTGGCCTGGACACAACCGACTAACGTGTTTCGTGTGTGCATCCAATCAAGTACTTTTGGTTTATCAACGGCAGATTAATCGCAGAGTAGTATGAAAAACCCATCATCAAACTCCAAACGCGGTTGTTGAAAGGTGTAACATCAGCGGTGAGGCATCTATTCCTCATTCCCTGCGTCCTTGTATTAGATCAGTCTTCCTCAGCCGGAAGAGACATACTTTTGAGTCATTAGCACCAGTCAAGATCTCTCGAGAAACCCTACTACCATCTGCCTTGTGGGTGAGACTTCTGAATTAAAGGCTATAGCCATCAAAAACACCGGACTGTGACCCCCACATTCTCCTTGTGTACTTTTCGACGTCTTGATTTCTTAAACGATTAGTGTAGATTTTCAAGATAGGTACCGGCTGTGAGTCTGAAGACACCCGTGAGAGTCAAACCTAGAGCGTCGAAATGGTAATGCGTGATTCCATCCATGTGTCTGTCAGCATTTTTCAATGTCGCTGCCAAGGGTAATGCTGGTGGTTCACAACTGTGCAATCTAATATTTTGATTTTATCATCTGTCTCAATTGATGCACCTTACCTTTCACGTTGTTAGTTCATGTGCAACAATGATCTACCACAAATGTGCCGTAATTACACACAATCGCACTCCAACGTGGAATCATTCTAGCACAAAGCTAGGTTCACTCGTTTCTTCTCAAACCGTTTAAAATATGAATGGGGATTTCTTCTTGTCCTTCATAGGGTACGACCTGATAGAGTCATTCCAATCCGCAAAAACAACATGATACTGCGTGGTTGCGTACTTCGCAATACGGATTTCATCGAGGGAATGGTGATATATGCTGGTGAGTTCAGTGTGCTTTGTTGAATAGAAGAAGGATATCGATTTTTAACGTATGGAATTTCGGCTACACTAGGTTAAACCATATGAGATGCGAATGCAGTCCATGTGAAAGCATTTTGAGCAGCTTGCTTTCGTTTGACGCCAATCTAATCTTACCATTCGCTTTCTATGAAAATTCACAAGGTAGTATGTTATCTTGTCAGTCTCCCGAATGATTCACGAAGTACCGTGTTGCTACATCTAGTTGTGTCATACAGCACGGTTGTTTTATGTATGATGCACTTTAGTGTGCAGGCTATACGTTTGTTGCGCACGACCCCCTATCCATTCAAAGTTCCTGATAAGAGAATTGATAATGAGGATTGATTGCCTGGAAACGTCTCAAGGGAGAGATTCAGCTGGGTTCCAGATGAGTCTGTCGCAAAACCAAATTTGTTTACAAATGAGTGCATTTCGCTTGGATTGAGGAAACTTTTTATTTAAAGGTGTATTGTCAAGTTTCGAGATAAAATCATCCTTTCACGATGATCCTCGCCTCCCGCAGGGTCTCGGTTAATGGTAGTGTCAGTGTAGTTTCTACACTCAGCGACAGCAAACATAAAAACTATTACAACAAGGACTTGTCGATATCTGTCCTCTCCCTGGATTGCAACTCGGAAAGCGGGGCACTTCGTGGTTCATCATGAATGAAATTAACTCTATGGTTATGTGAAGGTTTGTACGCTTGTGTCATCCATTGAGCCATACCAGAGTGCCTTTTCGACACTCGTAGGGTCCCTCATGCAAAAGCATGAGAGAGAGTTGAAACATCTGTGGTGACCTGTTCTTCGAAAACTGTATCACCTTGGTACTTCCCGCCGGACACTTTTGCCTGGTGGTCAGGCTTCTGGACCAGAGTCTTTGGTTGGGGGACCCTGATCGTAGTTTGGGCGCCCAGTTATCCCGGCCCACCCAAACCATGATTCGCACAACCTGGGATAAACTCATACCGTATTGGCCTACCGGTCTAGGCGACCGAAACCTTTAGCGAATGTAGCAATCACAGGGAGATAAGCTTTACTTCATTTGCAACGAGACTATTGGTGTCACCCGTCCTTCATCGCTTTAGGATAGGTCGTGAAGCAGTGGATCGATAACAATAAACGGGATTTCAGTGTGGCAGAGTTTGTACTGGTCATATGGTTATTCCGTTAGGTGCTACAGCAATGCCATACGTATAAGTGGCTAATAATTTTGTTATTTCTGGATTTCCATGATTCATGTGATTCTCTTGGTTTGTTCTCTGTGTCGTGCTTGGTCAGCTGTGAATATCCCATAAATTTGTGAAGGGGCTAGGGTTTTTTATTCTCAAACTTGCGGACGTATAAGAGTTCATGGGAAGCCTTCAAAAAGCTTCTAAAGCTACAAAAATCAGCATCCAACATGGATGGCCACTCTCTCTATTTCTCTTAGCTTTCCTGATCGACGGGCTAACGAGACGAAAGCTAGGTCTTTAAAACTCTGGTGACTGTCGGCCTAGAATATGCAGACGACTTGTCCTGTTTTTCGGATGGGAAACTAATGCAAAGATGCTTATAGGTGAACTGAATGCAACCTTTTCGTCCGTGGCATCTGTTTGCATCCTCCCTGTGTATGGATAGAGACGCTGTCTTTTTCTCTCTGTCTGGGGTATAGGTATCTCGAAGTGATCACAGTAGGCTGATACTATCCACAGTTCTTCACAATAAGCGCTTCAAGTAAATTATTGTTGTCCAGCAGCGAAACATCAGTTTTGAACATTGACGTCGAACTGTCGATAATCTTAATTCTTGGCTGAAGAGACTCGTCGGTTTGATTTTTCTGCCAACCCGAAACTGGAGTGAAATGCGCACACAACTCTACATTTGTTCGAATCCGGAAGTATAAGGTCCTTTCTCAACTGCGTTGTAAACGACACTGTCATACGTGGACGTAGGAACTATGGAGAATATCAATGATGCATTCTAAACGGATTTCCTCGTGAATGACTCGCTCAACTGAAGTAATCCACTTTCTATCAGGAATATCGGGGTCTTCTGAGCTTGATAAATCGGTCTCTAATAAGCGCATTAGCCAAAGTTTCTTAGTTCTTCAGCTGTTCCAGCACACACGCACACACCCATTTCGCCCGATTCTCATTCCACCTCCACCCCCCTTTTACTCCCACTCCCCGCACGCGAACCCAACCGTACACTCGTGCACACAGGTAGCGAGACCAAGTCAGCTTTGAACAATACGGGCCCCCGCTTCAAACGCAGCAAGTTGGAGCACCGGATTAATTTGGATGTTGCGTGGTGTGTCCTCATCTTGGCAATGATTTGTTTCACTGGTGCTGTTGGTAAGTCACACTCACATATGTAGTGGTGTTGTTGTCGGTGATCGGTGCGAGAAAATCCAGGTACACCGCCTACGTTACATGTCTTGACGTCACACTGCGCACGACAATTTACCGCTGGTTTCCTCATTCATCTACTTCCACCAACTTTTTGGAAGCTTCGGTGTATGTGTAAGCCGGTGCTGCTATCACGTTGCCTTTTGTCAACTTGGTGGCCTGATTTGCACATTTTAACCACTAGTAACCCAATAGCTCGGTATTTCATCTGCCTCCCCACCAAAATGGATGACCACACCACCAAATTCACCGTACCCTTTTCCCACCACACCAAAGCGTAAGTTAACAACATTTTTCACCTGGCTTAATTTAGCATATTTTCACACTTTCAATTGCATCGCTAACCCATTGTTCCATTTGTTTGTGCTTCCTCCCCGCTTGTTTCATTTTTTTCATCGAACCGTCACACGACTGTTTTTTGAAGAGACAGGTACATTCACTCTGCGACGTGCTTTAATTATGTATGCAAGAGACAGAAAAACTGAGTGCAGTATTTCATCAGCATCGATGGTTTGAGCTTGTTGTTGTCCGATGATACAGCAGGTGATTCAGTGTACTGCGTTTGTGAGAGGAACTCTACCTCCATATTCGTTAGCCACCCAAATAAGGTAGTGTGAGCGTGTCTAGCTGTCTTAGGACTCTATCTGACACCAACAAACTGAGGATGCCAGCCGAGCCCACCAGCCGTCCTCCCTCCGGTTTGTCACAGCTTGTCCTCCCCGGGGACCTAATTCAGAGATCAACTGCCAAGCCCTATGAATAAGTCACCAGCAGATAGACCCAACTGGGTCTTCGAGTACGATATCTGATACTTGACTTTCGGTGTTTGGAACCAGCAATACTCGCCAGACTTCAGCAGAGTGAATCTTAAAATCATGTACCAGAAAGTTTGCAAACCTCCTCTACCATGTTTGTGGTTGTTTCGGTGAAGGCAAACCAAAAAAACGTTCAGTTGTAGTACCCTTCCGGTGCCTAGCCGCCACGCCGCCCGAAGGTTGCACGAGGGCTGGGATATTGCCAGGATGCGCAAGCCTAGACAGGGGAAGCCAAGAGGCAGAGGTCGGGTTCGAAACACGGACCTTCCGGTCTGTAAATTGGCGCTCTAACCACTGGGGCCATCTCTCCTCAACTTAGTGGGCGATGAAGTACCTATATAAAACGTTTTGATGATTTGTTGAAAAAATGAAAAATTATGCCGCTAGAATAAGCGATTCGCCGAATGTGTTGGAACTAAATTTAGCCGAAGACGAAGGTGAACAGACCACATCTTCACGCTCTAACAAGTAACGGAAAAGCGCCTCTGCTCCTTTCCTTACTTAAAGGCTGGTTTCGATTCTCTGTATTTTCGGATACTGTGCAAGTGTCCGTCGAATGAAGGCGATTCATTCGAATCAGCAAGGATAACCGTGTTGTCTCTTTTGGCCGAAATCGGATCCCTAATGAAGGCATTTTCGCAGTGATTGCACGTACCCGTGTAACGGTGGATAGTACTTTTGAGGTATGCGAGTAGTGTCTTCTCGTAAATCCGCTTCACGTCTTTTGAAAAGTGAGATCTATTACGGAATTTGTGGAGTCGCTTTGTAGCATTCGCTTGCATTTGAGCAACAGTCAATGAATATCCAAGAAAGTTCAGGAAGACGCGTTCAAGGAGAAGATGGATGTTCAGTTTTGTAGACAAGATGCATATAAGAGTTTTTCTCCCCTGTCCAATAGTCTGTAACTGTTCGGTTGGTGTTTCTCTAATAAACAACTCCGCAGCGAAGGCCTTCTTCCTTTCAACCGTAGGACACTGCACCCCTTTTCCCGTGGCTCTGTTCTGATATCGTAGACTTTACCTTTCATGATAATGTTTTCCGAAAAGTACATCCTTTTGGAACCAGGAGTAATCAACTGTGGTCAGTTTTTCTAGATTGAATCGACGAATATACATACACGGAACTTCCCCGATCTCCAGGCTAAGGTGATGCCAGCATGCTTCCTGGGTTGCCCTGCTACCTTCATAAACCGTGCCGAACGGTATAACACTAAACTAGGCACTTCCTTGTTGCAACGTCAGAGGTATGCACTTTCTGTTCACTGACCGATGCTAAAGAGGTTTTGGCGTGGCATTTTTCGCGGTTGAGTAGCTAGCCCTTACGAGGACTTCGATATCCAACTAACGAGTGGTCTGCAACGATGCCTTACGATCTGGGATACACAGCATTTACGCGCGTACTTTCAGAAAAAAGTCAGCGAAAATTTTGTGCCTCCATTATTCTTGGTGGTCGATTGGTTTTATCGGTTTCCGCGGTTAGTTATAGTAACTCCAAATTGATTAAGGGGTGGCCCGTGTACTTCTAACGTTGGCTGGACGGGACAGAAATACCTCGTTTTTTCAAACTCTGATACCATACCGCCGAATTGGCAGTTATGGAACTGAGCTGTCGTCGGGTGTTTTGGCTCAACTTTAGCAATGACCAGAGCAATTACCCCACTCACCGTTGAGCCAACGCCCAAAGCTACATCTGATTTGGTGCAATGACGCCTTTCATAAGGAGATCCCCTGGGACTCCAGTTGTCAAGGTATGCCCGCTGCAGTCAACTAATTGAGACAGACTTGATATTTGAACATATCAAGTAGGAGGAGTAAACTTCGGTCACGTAATGACCACAGCTCCGGACTTCTGAGTGGCGATTCTTGTTGCCCTTTGTGGGGCTGGGAATGGTAAAAAGTTTTCGGTCGCTTTCAGATGGATTCCATGGAACCGGGGCAATGTGCGAAAGAGGTATTCATTGGGGAGGGGGCACAACACATTGGTGGACCACTGAATACTTCCTTGTGTTCGGGTAACAATCGTGGATTCGTTTGTATGAGGTGGGGTGCCCCGTGCGAGATACCATTAGTCGTTTGTCTGTTCGCTGGGGTTGGCCGTTTTATGATGGTGATTGTGACGAAGACGATGATGATGCACGTGCTTGGATCGTTCCCAACCGATTTACTGAATTAAACGAACAGGCTAAGACCGTTGTTAGACCTTGAGTTGTCAAGATCCTCGTCACCGTAAGATATAGCAATCGCTGGAGATGTGTGTACTGGTGTTCGGCAATTTTTGATGTCTCTTAGTTTAACATCGACCTCTCTGAATTCCCACCAGGACATGTGCACATGGAATTATTTATGGCCTCGGATTCTGTTTGGTAGCAATTAACATCCTTCATCACTTTCCCTTCACTGCTAACAAACGTCTGTCATCATCTGGGTATAAATACTCAACTGCTGTAAGGTCGCCGTATTTCTGTATGTATTTCAATGCTGCCTGAATGAATGTAAGCCACTTGTGGCTTTGATTACTTCATCTCCTAGAGGATTGCTATTGCTTGGTTAACGTTCGTTCAATCCTCACTTCATCTTTCATTCCTGATTCTCCATAGGTTGTGGTATATGGCAACAGAATCTGCCCGGTGATGATGTGCCCTTTGTCGCCATCGATCGCAACGCTAGCACATCCAGTCCAGCATTTCAAGGATTTCTCAACTTCTGGCGTTTTATCATTATTTTTCAAGTGAGTGGCTGTTTTGTCAAGCGCTTATGCGGATGTTTCATTCGTTCCACCTAGATACCTATGCACTCATCTCCCCAGAAAGTGGTCCATTTCCCCTGTCCATTCAGAATCTCATCTAAATCGTGGTCTTCTGTCAATCGGGCCATTGGGTCTAATTGTATTCAGCGTACCACTAACCTGCTGGAGTTTTGACATACATGGTAAGAAGTTTAGTGAATGGGCCTGCACCGGAAATCTCGCCCTTTGATCCTGCATTGTCTTCAAATGATACAATCAGTGGCTCGTTGTGTGTGCGGCGAGATGGACCAAGTGGTTAGAGCGCGAATTTACTGACCGGAAGGTCCGTGGTTCGAACCCGACCTCTGCCTCTCGACTTCTGTCTAGGCTGGGGCAACCTGGCAGTATCCCATCCTCTGTGCTTCCTCCGAGTAGCATGGAAGCTAAACACCGGAAGGGTGTTACAGCTGAACGCTTTGATCCCTGTGCAAATACGCTACCCGGGTTCTAACATGTTCCAACGCGTATAGATTGTCACCAACCGGAACTGCTTTTTCCCGTTTGCCCACTTCACTTGAGCCTAAACCACTACCATGTGGTTATTAACGTACTAAGTTACAGCTATTTTTTGCACTTTCGTTTCGTTTTTGGTAGCTCACTCCTCTCTTACCTTTACGGTTTATTGCAGTCGATTATCCCACTGCCCCTCTATGTTAGCATCGAATTTATCAAGATGCATCAAGTCTGGCATATGAACCAAGATTTGGAACTATACGACGCAGCCGTGGACCGCCGCATTGAGGTGCGCGCGTTCAACATTCCAGAGGATTTGGGCCAAATTGAGTATGTGTTCTCAGACAAGACAGGCACACTGACGGAGAACAAAATGGAGTTCAAACGGGCTAGTATCAACGGAATCAATTTTTTCATGGATCCAGGTATGTATGCCAAGAAAAAAAGCCTATAACCCAGTTTTGTCCACTGAGGCACAAATTCCTATCCCAAGTTCACTCTCCATCAAAACTAGAGTAGACTAATGCCGTCATGAATGATTTAACGACCGTCTAACTGGGATTACCTCTCCATAGGAGTTATTCACCGAAAAATCGGACCAGGTTAGGTTTTCGGAAACCCCGTTGCCCTAATGATCGCGAGTGCTATTTCCACTTCTCTAATGTCAGGACAGCTGAATTCTCGTAGCCTAATGGTTTAAGACCAACTATTCCTATTATATTTCAACCTCGGAATCAAAACTATTTGTTGTATTTTGCGGTGGCCGAGCTACTGGGGTTACGCCTGCACTGAGCCTGCCAGACTATGCGATAGGGAGAAGACAGAGAACTGGGGACACGGCTGTATTGCCAGGACAAAAACGTACAGAGCCTCTGCGTAAATATATATAGGATGACCAATTGGCCAAATACGGTCGTTCACTTGTTCGCTCCAATGGTGGTGTTCCGGTCGTGAACACTCTCGGGCCCACTACGCTGGTCGTGTGTTGCTAGGCCGTGTTTGGTGGAAGCCCCCGACTCACCTACTTTCCGGACGTGTCGAACCGATGGTGACCTTGGGGATGCGTCACTCTCTGCACATGTGCTTTTTCTTCTGTCTGGGCGCGCCCTGACACTATTGCTGTTTACTTTCGGTCATGCGACCGAGTTACTTTTGAAACCTAGATGCTACTGATCTATGACTGCTCTTCCTGGCACTTTGCATTCCAGTAAAGTCACGTGACCCATGACTTGGGTCTGTTTAGCTACTCCCGTAGACTCTTTTATTTCTATAAAGTGGCGAACTATAAGAATTTTCTAAAATACAGGTCATCACAAGAAAAGTTGCTCTTTGTCCTCTCCTAAGTGTTTACTCCCTTTTAAAGAACGTCCAACGTGAATGTGCCAGACCGTCGAAAAGATGAGTAGAAAACTGCCAACGCATCCACAAATCATTGTAGTATGAAGTGATCTCCACTATTTCTTGCTGTAGGTGCATAGCAACTCATACAGATTACGTATAATTGTAGACACGGTTCTCGGTCTTTGGTTGAAAACGATTTGTGCGATACTCGGTATCCTGAATAACGTCTGTTTACACCCTCCGCGGTTCCATGTTCTTTTTCCCGTCGTTTTCAAAGGATTCCTTCTCAGTATTCCCTCATTACGGAGATGTCATAAAGTCGATATTGACTACTGAGGATCACCCAAAATCATCATATGTAAATCAGCTGCAACTCGAGAATCGGTTTCTGTCAACGGCACGCTCCTGTATGACGCCCAAATGTTTCAGTTCGACGCAGCTCGAATAAGGGGACACCGTGTTTTCCGCTGAGCACCTACACTTCTTCATCTCCCTATTTACAGGGACGTTCTTTTTTCGTGCGTGGCAGTTGGTGATTCTGTCTCTACCAGCAAACTAGGCTGCATCAAAACCAGTCACTAAGGTATAAATACTTGTCGACCGTCAACTGTAACACTACTAATGTCCGGCTCGAGGGTGCAGTAGTGCATCAGTGAGAAAGGGAAACGCAAGCCAAATGTCGTCCTTTGTGATTCAATCCCATGTTCAACACTCATCGGGCGACAACAATGGATTACTGGATTTGAACCCGTCCAGTAGTGTAATCAGACTTTGAGTAGATTAAGGATAATAGGTGCGTCGGCTTTCGTTCCAAAGGTACGTCATTGGAAATCACGATCTGGTCATTAGGATATTTTTCATTAGATCATAAGGTCAGTGATTTTTCTTCTGCGATAAATTCGCTATTCAGTGATCCAAATCGTAGATGGTTTGGTCTCCACGGATAGGATTCTCGTGGGTGAGGGGCTGCTTGCTATATAGACTGTTTTGATAAATGACGTCTCTTGGAACGAAAGGATACTGTGTTTAGTTACCCGTAACATTTCATGCGTCATTCCACTTCTCGCCCTCTTGCAAGGTTCGCTTAGTCGCTTCCTTCCAGAAACCCATGTGTTACACTCCACATTTGTACCACCTGGAAGGGAAGGCACCTTCAAGCAGAGTCGAATGATTTCACCGCCAGTGTACAGTAGGAATTACATAATCAGGTATCCAGCAATACTACAACCAGGCATACTTCGTCTATTGACCGAGGCCGGGTACGCCCATGATATCGATCCTATGCTAATATGCCAGTCTGCTAGCGCTGAAGACGCATATCTAGCTTCCTGTCTTTGGTCTCGTACCATGTTTGTTTTGGCCGTTGCATTGTCGTGCCAGTATGGACGCCTTTCGATCTTAACAACACTGTTACATGGTTTTTGAGTAACACATTATCTCACGCCTGTGCCACAACGTCCAACCGGACGAACGTTTGATTTTGTTAAACAGAAGTGACCAGTGCATTCACAGTAGAGCATAGCTTCAACGATAAACGCTTTGAGCAGAGTACTTCCCATTACGAACAGCTGGTTCATAAAAGCACAACTAGTCGTCTGTGAGATGTGTTGAACTCATACTAATCGGAATGCGAGTGCGTTCCGATGCACCTTACAAGTGCGATTCGAGCACAACATATTGTTCATAAGAACTGTTGAAATAGCTTATCAGAAATGTTACTAGAAAACTCGAAATAAACGACGGGTGGCTAGAAAATCCCCGGGATACTGCTAGCTGGATTCCTGCTCAGTGTCCATTGACTAACCTTATTCGCAGTCGGTGAACAGACAAAGGTCCACCATAGTCCTACGTGCGAGCATTTTGTATGCTAATGACACTTGTAATTTCACCAGCAACAGGTCACACATAGCCTGGGTTATCACGGTGGTACTTGTGGAAACCGAGACTTCCTATGAAGCAGGTTTTATCGATTTTTACTCTGATGGTGAAAAAAATCGCTCAGTTTTAGCACCCGGTGCCCAACTGCCATGCCACCCGAAGGTTGCATGAGGACTGGGATACTGCTAGGTTACCCAAGCCTAGAGAGGGGAAGTCGGTAGGCAGAGGTTGGGTTTGAACCACAGCCATTTCGGTCAGTAAATTCGCGCTCTAACTATTTGGACCATCTTGCCCCACTCTGATGGTGAAAATAAACCTAACTAAACACACCAACCATCACAACTGCATAGTCGATTATTGCGCTTCGTCAGGCACGACTTACAAACAATGTTGGAATTGAGAAATCCACGATGTGGGAACAAACTTCGATCACATCCTATGAGGCTTTTTCTGTTAATAAGAGAGGCTCCACTTTGCCTGTGTGCATAAAATTTTCCCATCTAACCCGACAGGGCTAACCAAAAATACTCTCTGCTACGCGAGAAACCCATTGCCCCTTGGGAGCACCAGGGTGCCATCACTAGTTAGGCGCAATCATCCCACACGGAATAATTACTGTTGCGTCCTTACAATCTAAAGATAATTAACCTAAAACTTTGAAGCCAACCTCCTAGGAGAGGTGATTTCACCTTTCACGCGTCGCGGCATATCCTGAGGGATTTGATCCAGTTCGATACGTGAAACTTATGTGACTGTTTATGTCTTCAGTTTGGTTGCGCATTTTGAAAGCTCACCTTTGTCTATCTTACCTGTTCCAANTTCACCACTTAGCTGCTGAACCCGAGTTAGCTTAGTGGTTTAGGTGTGAGCTTACTTCACCCGGAAGTTCATGGCTTAAACCAAACCCCGGCATTTAGACCACTCCTGTCTGAAACTGAACAAGCTGAAGGTAACTCAGCCCTTGTGCTTCTTTCGAGTGACGTGGCATCCATGCCCCGAAGGAATGTTACATCTGAATGGGTAATATTTTATTCGTTTATTGACTTTTCCTACCAATACTATGTAACTTTAAGGAGCGATTCCATTCAAAAGCTGTCTCAGTCCATTGCGATTGTTCGATGGCTCTTTTCCAGCAAAGAACTTTCATTTTATTCTGTTGGTTTGTCCCTTCTGAGCATGTAGATCTTCTGATTGGTTTGTCTTGATGGGTCAGTTCCAAGTTCCTAGTTTCGGGACCTTAAGACGCTGTTTTATCGGATATATTCACGACATCCTTTTCTATCACCCGTTGTTTGGGAGTCCGCGTTTATCATTTATCTACATCCATTTGATTCCCCTGTCAACAAACTATGTCATTTGAACATGTTGAAGTTGCCAAGTCAAGTTTTTATCAATTACAGTGACTAAGTCACTGGGGGCGAGATGGCCCAAGTGGTTATAGCGCGAATTTACCGACCGGAAGGTCCGTGGTTCGAACCCGACCTCTACCACTCGACTTCGCCCGTCTAGATTTGAGCAACCTGGCAGTATCCCAGCCCTCGTGCTTCCTGTGCTTCCTTCTACAGTGACGAAGTAAGGTTTATTCTGGTATTTTCTTTATGTGTTCAACGCTATTCCTAGACCAGGAGCTCATACAGCGGTTGCCACCACCATTGTTACAGACGTCGCCCCGTCTTATAGTAGCTGAACCACTACAACTACTCGTATTGTTTTTCAAAATGTCATTCAGAATGTGAAAACTGAGCTTTAGGGCTTCCGCGGTCGAACGTAATTCGCGTCTGAATACAGACTAGCATACCCCACCAAACCTGATCCGAATAGGACTCATATCCGCTGGAATTAATCGTTTTGAGATGATTTCCCCTTACTCGTGAGTGGTCGTATTAGTCGGCGTACCATGCCAACATTTGTCGGTGATCTGTTTAGTCCTTTCAGGAATGACTCAAACGGTGGAACAGAGTTCTGGCGGTCAGGTATGCTGGATAACCCATATCCTTGTACATTGGTTGATGGGACCACCACTGTACAAGGATATCGGTTATCCAAGAACCTGGAACTCCGGACTCAGTAACTCAACAGTCCAACTAATGGCCCTAAAGATGAGAGTAATTATTTACCCAACACTCGAACGGCTATCCCCTGAGAGAGGACTAGTCGGCCTCAGCAATTTCCCACACACACGCTCACCACGCACGACGATCGAATGCGACATCTGCATAAACCGCGATCCAATGTAAACTGCAGTGACGAGCTCCGGATGCCAGGTAAGGCATCTGAGGTTCTTGATCACAACAGCTTCGAACATAGCTGTCTAAAACTTCACCATTCTGATCTTTTCGCATCTGACTCTGCTGAGAATGAGACTTTTGTGTACCGTCGGTTTGAGAAACCTGCACTAGTTTTTCTTCGTACAAACATTTTTTGAGTCCTTAAAATTTCCACAGTTTCATTTCCGCGTTACGCCATTCGATCACAACAGTATGCATCCTTAGTACGACCTGACCACTCCTGGTAACCGTTGTCAAGGTGGATCCACATGCGTTTATGACGTCGACATCAGCCGTTCCTACCTTAAATCGACCCAGTTTAACCGTTTCAGGGGTAGGAAACCAAGGCAACGCCCAAACAAAGCCATACGACTGATTGTCTTCACCTATGTTCCTGTGGGTAAACATGTTTCACATAATACACAGATGGGTGTTTTTTTTTTTTTCAACTCAGTGTCTCACCAGTAAACAGGTTACGAATACACAGTAACTCTCCCATATTCGCGTATGCATCAGAGTAGAGACGGTGTAGTCGGGTACTGAAACTTTGCTGGAGATAGCAGGTAGAAGCAGGTGTGTATGGAGGTGTGAAAATCTAACTTTCTCCAGAACGGAGATTGTGAAAAGCTGCCGTTACCCGTTCTACTCGTCATCCGCCGGCGTTATACCTTCAGAAGATGCGCTGGATGTCAACGTTGGACTGCTGCACAGGTTATGTTGCAAGTTACACGTACAGTAGTCTCGCTAACGGCGCAGCGCGTCTTATTGTTGGCTGCGAGGCGTTGCATATGGAGGAGCTACTTGAAGTTACAGTCAAATTTACTTTTGGTAGGGGGACCATAATGTCTCTGTGTTGCGGTTTAGCAACCACTCTTCCAATGAGTGTGTGCCAAAGAATCGGTTTCTCTGTGTAAACAATGCCTTCGCAGGAAGGTGGTAGAAATTAGTTACCAATAACTCGTCGTCCTGTCTGTCGAAATGCCCTGGAAACTCAACACCCCTTTTCGTCAATACTGTATGTAACTGAAACTCTCACTTCGATCATGCCCTTCTTCCGTTCGACATCTATCAGGCAGCAAATTTAAGTCTGCCGAATACGCTCCACCCGTGTTTATTGTTCTTGTCTAAGCTCCTCATGCAGCAAATGTGCAAGATAAGAGTGGGCCAAATGAAAACACAATTACCGGGTTGATAGGATCCTCGTCATAGATAGCTGCCTGAACTAGAGCAACATCTTGATTTTTATAGCATGGGTATAAAATACTCCCTGTTCCTCATCGAATGGCAGGTGGAATGATATCGACAATGTTCAACCATGGTTTACTACATTAAACTCTGACCAGCTGTTTTGTCTTATTTTGTCGCAACCGGCCAGCGATTGAAATATTTTATGGCCAGCATTCGGAAAAGGTCGGTGGCATATCTTCTCAAGCTACAGGGACGTATGAACACGATGGACACAGAACGTCTGTGTGGCATTCACTTCAACTGTCCACTGTTGTTTATACATTCTCATTACTTCATTCCTTATAAGATTGTCAGTGGCTCTACGAAGCACGCCAGTGCAATGGTAACTGGATCTCTCGGCTTCAGTCAGTCGAATTACTCTGAGGGATTGGAATCTTGTTGATTGAATCCACCGGGTAACGTTAGTAACACTGTTCGAATAGATCTTCAGCGCGTCACAGGAACCCTATTAGAGAGACACTCTTGAACAACTGTTGCGGGAGAGCAATTCATACATGCTCAGTTGATCAGCTATCCGACTAATTTGAGGAACCTATCTACTTCGATTGCACTATCAGCCTCTGTAAGACGTCATCAGATTCGCTTGCGCTATTACTCACCTGATTGGCTGCTAAGTGATCTGTGAGGGTAGATGGGCAAAGGATTTAAGTAACGGCAACACTCAATGCCAACGGAATACCGGAAATAGTAATGTCACCCAAACGAACCGAACGATCCACCCGTTCAGCTATCACTTTCGAACGCCCAGCACCGACAATTTTCCCCGCTGGTAGTTTCCGTGCACAGACTGAGTTTTGCATAGCCATTGGGCTATAATGAGCTCGCCATGGAGTGCCTTAAGAACCGCGGATGGTGAGATGGGGTTGAATCAGGTTCCCGACAAACGGGTCGTGTAAGATCAACACCCACAGATAGTTTTGAATATCGTCCGATCATGCACCACATCTTCATATGCATATCAGCAAACGGCTGGCACTTTTCAGTGAGTAGTGCGTGGCCAAGACGTTAATGATTGAACAACAATAATTTGGCAATAAGGAACTAGGTTTGAATGAATATGCTTATTAGAAGAGAATAGATAGATCATTCGGGTTAGTTCGAAAACGACTGCGCAAGTTTGCGTCATACAGCAATCCCCCTGTGGATAAGCCTTATTAAAGAAACGAGAAAAACGCGTGTATAACATTGAAAAACTCTTCAAAGACGAAGTGAAGTGGTATTTCCTTCAGACCGAGCAATCACTTCTGTGTTGTAATCCGGTGTCCGCATGTCATTTCTCATTTCGTTATCTTTCTTTGGTGCAGGAGGTGGTCGGCTATCCTATTCTCCAGTCCGTTGAATTGAACTATGAAGAGTGCATTTACGTGGGTGACTCGTTGATTCATCCTTTTCTGTTGATTCCTCTGTTGACAAATCTCTCTCTCTCTCTCTTCTGGCTGTTCAACTCGGTACAAATAGGTAGAAACTTTTATCCGTTTTTGCAAACATTTAGTATAAATTGCATTATCCAGCTGGGTAAAGCTACAATTGCTCTGACTCCCATCAATGCAGACAACACATGCACACAACACGTGTGGCTCCATTATCTCTGCTGGGCTGTGCTTAGGTCTGTGCACACAGTTCTCCCGGATTACAGGTTACTCACAATATAGTGCACGTGTCTAATCGGTGGGTTTCGGCTCGCTACCAATAGATTTTAATTGAACCGATGTAGATTTACTACAGCAGTTACCTCTTAGCGCGTTGTGATTTACGCAGTTTGCAACCAAATCAAATAATGTGTGTTAGCTAACCAATGAGAACTACTTGCAAGTGTTAACCGAATACTTGGACGAACCCCCGTTTATGATATCCTTCGAATGAATTAGCTGCATAATGGTCTTCTTATGCATCATTTAGCACAACATTCGGTATATTGCAGTATATTTTGCCGTAAAAAATCAGTACTACTACCTCTCACTTGAAGAATACGATAAATAAAAGATTCAGTTGAGTCCCCCAATAACACCAGCGTGGTGTAAAAACGAATGCTCTTCGTCCATTGCGTACGACTCGGTAGTAGAAGGCTGATGAAGGCTTAGGGACTATACTTACTTGATGATCCTCAATCAAGATGAAACCAGCAGTGGACTGTCGAAGGGTTTTCACTGGTATTTGTTCTTTCAAACTGGTCCGCTGACGCTCCCTCCCCTCGTTCCAGTTCGACTGCCAAACTTCAGTCCCGGACTAGGGTACTCCGGACCTTAAAAGGTTTTTGTAACTTTTCAAATCACAGTTAATGTGCCATCTTCTGTACCGTCAGAAAAACTAAACACCAGCTATGCGAGATTGAAGGGTAAGCTGTACTATGCCATGTCTAAGTGCTGATAAGCCGCTCGTTGCCGAAGGGTTAAGAGTTCAAAGTTGTAGCCTGGAGATCGTGGGTTCGATACTCTCTGGAGTTTCGTTGGATGCGTACCGCTGATGATGAAACTGCTGTACAGTGCTTCTTGTCTTTTCAGCGTAGATCAACTCCACTTACAGGACGAATTTTCAATTGAAGACATCTCATCAATTATGTGCTCGAGAATAACACTTGTTCCAACGCACGCTCATTTAGAAAATGTTTTCTGGTTATGGGTGATTTGGTATTGGCGAGCCAATACGAAATGCGTGCATCTACCAGTTTCCGTCTTATTGTATTGTTCAACTCAGAACATTACCTGGGTCAAAGGTCAGCCTTTGTACCGCGTCTTGTATCTGTCACCGGACTAGCTAATCCGAAGCAGTCTGTAGTGTGAGACGTAAGAAGTCATTAGCGACGAACGCGAACCTGTGTTGCGACTCATTATGTGGTCAGTGCTAGCAAAACACACGACTGTCAGTTGGCAGTCAGTCTTTGTCACCTTGTTTTACTCTGATCACTTCGAGTGATTGGATGAGCACAACGAATCTGATGTGTTTAACGCGAGTAAAAGGTGTGTGCCTCGGCTAAACGGTGTGTTGATATCTGGACTTCGTTCGTTTCCAGCCGTTTTGTCCTCAATCTATGTCTAGCTGCAAAACCCACGGCTTTTCCTGACTCAACACCATATCTTCAATTTGATTATTGTCTCTGCATCCCTTAATTGAGGTCAGCCTTCCTCCGGCACGCAGCACATGAGGTTTTCACTGCATATTTATCGATCCAAGTAGTAGCACCTGATCAGTTCGATCTGGTTGCCAACTTGCTCGACTGCCGCACTCAAATTGACATAAGCCGGGAAAATGTACTGATCCATACTAGTTTAATGGAATGTGGAGTGTACGTCAATGTACACGACATGGATGATTGACGTTAAGCTATCAGTTTTTGGTTGAAAAAGGGTGAAGTTTTGATAGAATCTCAGGTCTTAACTCGACATATGTGACATCCAACAGTGGATGAAAGCTAGATTGAGGTCCAGCGGATGTCACAGTGCAATCTTTCCTTCACACGATAGCCTGACAATAGCACACCCACTCGCTGACAAACGACTGGGTGTAATTGCTGGAACTCGACAAGTCACATTACGTCTGTGTTCGATTTCTTCTTTAAGTTGAATCAACCGGAGATGTCTGAAAGCTCTGAGTTGAAACTTCTCTTTCGTAAAGTAAGGTTCCAAAATAAGGTTATCTTGTTTCCGAAACCCACGAATCGAGTCCAGTTCCTATTTTTGTGCCTTTGGAGCTGGCTATGATATTAGGTGAAGCGACGTCATCAGCTGTCCGATAGCACCACCCTATTGCGTAGCTGACTGGCGGATCCACCTCTTTTCACCGGCTTCGCACCAATTTCTCACAATTCTAAGGTTGGTCGTGATGATTTCGAATTAGTCCACCACCAGCATAAACGAGAGATTCAGATGGAAGCATTTGAGTCTCCCTTCAAAAGCAATTCCTTGCGCAAATGGGAGTTTTTGCCAAAAGCTGTCCAATTTAGGTTCAAGTAGAACACGAGGTAGACGGAAACTCGCGGATCGCTCCTACGTGATGAGCCCCAACAAGGGCGAAACCCGTCTTCGGCTGTCGAAGAGTTCTCAGCAACCTGAAAATAGTGTTTTACGTATGGTTTTTCAGATGCCTTCCGAGTAGTTCGTGCTAGTTGTCAGTTTGTTAGAAATTGCCACGACTGGTGTTGCGGCTATGGTTTGTTTCTGTTCTCATCTCTTACCCGCAGTTCTAAGCTTTTCGTGAAGCATTTCTTTGAAGTCATTCTAACATCCGAGAGAGAGAGAGAGCATCCAATATTATACGGTACTACCTCCAGAAATGTGCCTGCATGAGCAAAAACTCAAGGTCCGTAAGAGACGCCTGTCAAAGGTCTTTCCACGTAAGGTGGCCGTTGAATTTCGCTGGAAAACCCATTTTGTCATTAGTTAGTTGATTAGGTAATTGGTTAACTGGATGGTCAAATAAGCAAGCATAGCAATTGATAGTCAAACCCATGTGCTGACCCCTAGTTCCTACTCACAGCCCTACAACTTCCTACTTTCCGGTTTCATTCATGTCAATAACATGGCATCTATCAGTGTCCATCATCACTATAATCGCTATATTCATTTGACTGAACCTTGTTTATGTTTATACTTCTGTTTTATCGAACAGTGGGGTCAGTCAATGATGAGGACGGCGACTGCTTGCAAATGTCTAAGGAAACGCTGGTAGTAAGTTTGTGGTGTTTTATCAAGATATGCTTTTATTACGACTGACAATGCAGGCCGTTCGCCAAAAATTCACACCTGTCGCTGCATCGCTCTTGGCATCCTTTCTCGTCCTAACACCTCACTGCTATCTCCATTTAGAACCGCACCGTAGCAAGTGCCCACACAGTATAGAGCAAAATGTAACGCTTCAACAGTGTGTAAGTGCACTGAACCCATTCAGTTCAGTCGAGTGAAAACTTGGTTCAAGTAGAACGTAAGGTTAACGGGAACTCGGTGGATGCCCATACCTACCTCAAGAAGGACGAAACTGATCCTAGTCCGTCAGATTTTATTAATGGTGTGTCACATTTAGACAGTACATTGCGACATCTCGAATATTGCACGAACTGAAAATTGACGCGGCCTGGTCCCAATTGAAGCCATCCGTCATAAACGGGACATCTAGCTCGATTCCGTTGATTCTCTTGGTCAATACCAATTCCTTTGGAAAATGAGAGTATTTGTCGTAATCTGCCCAACTCGGGTTTAAGGAGGTTCGGGGACTGCGTCTACCTGGGGAGCCCCAAGAAGGGCGAAACCGGAAGAATTTTCAGCAACCTTATAGGCATTGTGCAACGTTTAGCTGATACAGGATGATTTCAAAGACTAGCTGCTGTTACGTCTACGTTCAAGGACATGTCCCCTTTTAGAATACCGTTTAAATGACTGTGTGAGCTGAATGTTGATGGATAGGACATTCTCCGTCCGATGCGTATTGTTCGCGTTCAACCTGAGTTGGTAGATACAATCAATTGATTATGAAAATCGTTAGAGAAGGTTACCCACCACAACCGAAAAGACGGATTTTACCATATTATTCCACTACGCTGTGTTTTGACTTTAGACTTTCCATTTAGGGTTGCTGGGTATTCAAACGACGGTTGGCTGCGTCGGTCAACTGAACGTGACTTTATACCTTCGCTTCATCTGATGAAGAGTGTACTGCTTACCAAGCTATAACTATAGGTTTGTAAGGTTCATTTTATACTAATTGTTGTCAACAGAGAATTCAGTCACCATTTAAGGAAATCCCTCGTTCATGATACTCTTCAACTGACCGCAGACTTCGAGGGTTGCATGCTTCCGTGCTTAGTTAAGCTGATACGCAGGTGATGAATCATTTCAAGGCCCGAAGTGTTGTCTATTCGCAGAATATTGTTGTTAGCTCTTCTTCGGAACCGCAACTTATGGAACAAATTTTTTACAAGGCTTTCAGACTGCAAGTTAAGGCTAGTTACCGTGTTTTATTGTGGAAAACATTCAAGTGTTTGACCGAGTCGTGGGAAATCGTTTTACGAAGGTTACCCCACTGGGATTTCTTGAACTACCCCTCTCCGACGTGCACTATCTTCCAGCAACCAATGAAACAAGTGAATCCATAAATCCAAAGAAAAACAATTGTTCAGCCTAGTTTGTGGAACGTAGCAGCGGCAACAACAGTGGCAACTAGTCAGCAACCTTCAGCTCCGGTTCCCCCGCGGGCCGGATGAATAGTACAAGTGAACCAGGGCATTTCTTAACCGCAGACCAACCCCACTGCGACCGCTGAAGATGTGTTCCACGTGTTCTCCTCATGATGTCGACGAGTAAGAAAGTGTATGTATGTTTAGCAGTCGTGTTTGGAGGATTGGATGCCTTGACACTGCAGCTAGACTGGACAGATTTTTGTAGCTGAGGAATCATGTGCTCATCAGGAGGTGGATTTGTACACATCGTCGCCTAGAATTTTGGGGAAAGGGAACAGGCATTGACTCTTCTATATATCATAGCAGGGATGATGACGGCACGTAAGCGCTCTCGTCTGCATCACTCACTGCGCTGCACTCACCTTCTAAGTTACGTCAGAATATCACCATAACGTTTCACTTATTTGGGCATTGCGTTGGGAATTTTTCTGTCGCATGTCGTGGGCTTTCTGGACGAAAACGTATTGGGATTCAAAAGTGACGATGTCTGTCTTTTTTCCTTCCCATACAGCCTGAAACTAGGATCAACTTCGACTCGCTGAAGACGATCGTTGATAAAATGAGCTTGCTCACTACCGGTAACGATGGTCTAGGTGATGGCACCGATCTGCCGCCGGCAGGAACAAGCACGCCCACCCTCCGAAACGAATCTCCCACTCTCCTTTCGAACCAAGAGGTCATCGAAGAATTTATCCTAGCTCTAACCATTTGCAACACGGCTGTCGTTTCAGCAACCAAAAATTCCGCTTCATTGGTAAGTGTGTCTGTCGATCAAACGCGTCGCTCGATGCTCATCAACTGTTCCGTTTCTTCCAAGTTTAGGTGTGTTTAAGGTCAGGAAACAGTGTTTTGTGTCGACCAGTTGCATCCGCACACGCAACCACCGTAAATTCGCTCCGCATTCATACGGCCACCTTGTGTCCTCAATTCTGCTTTGTTTGTATTCGCCACAGATTTGTCTACAAAGCCTCACCTCGTTCGACAAGCCGACACAGTTCAAAACCGGCTTTTCGCGGCGACTCAATCACCTGAATACCATTTCTTATGTAATTAATAACGAATAGTGGTAAGGAAATATCAAATGAGTATGGTAAGGAGAATGACAACAAAAGTGATAATACGTTACTCTCTCCCTCTAGGGGAAAATGCTGTGTGTGGTGCCAGAATGTTGGACCGTGGATGACATGGGAATTGTGAACTGTATCGCCCGTCTTTTTTCTTCACTAGGTCAATGAAATCCCAGTTACATTCAGAGGTTTTAGGTAGAATTGGATGTGACGGACATCTCAAAGTACTTTTCGATTCTTCGGTTCAATTCAGTCATTCAAACACAGAAAGCGGTAAAAATCTCACAGCTGCTCGTTCCGCTCTACAACTCCTTCTGTTCACAAATTGCTGATATAGCCTACCTCCAATGTTGATCAGCATCTGCACAGCTCAAATTCTTGTTCGTTAGAGCATTGTTTAAGAATACTGTCCATGAAAATCATTCGCTGAACAGATGGATTTTATCGAAACCGGTACGCACTAAAGACAAGACAATCCATGACCTTTCTTGTATTCGGATGGCTTTCAAAGGACTGCTAACGAAATTTTGTGTTTATTCTGAAGGACGAACCAATGTATTCTATCCGCTCAGCTTGACATTTCCACTTTTCTCATACTATCATGTTGTTCACTTGCAAAATGATTCGTCAAAAACAGGAATTCGCCAAGACTAGTCTAGGATGCAGTTTGTATGGTTTTAGTGTCCAGTAGAGTAGGAGTTTCTTTGCAGTTGATTCCAGGAGATTTCGTGATATCCCAGTCAAGCGATAATTTGCCGTTAACGAGTTGTTTCAGAGTTGTCTCTTCGCTGATAGGTAGGACATACTAATCGATTTGTATGTGACGCACATACCATAGTTGTACATATAAACTGTAGGACAATTAGTGTGAATCATCATCCATAATGGTATCCTAGTTCGCGGTGATTTGGTAATAGCGGTTCCTTTTGGTCGGGTCTTCATCCCTCAGAGTTGTCGAACATGAAGTTTTCGCTAAGAAGCCCCGTTAGGTAATATGTGTGGCCCACTCGTACATACACCCATACATTCGACACCCTTCTGGTGTGTCGATTATTCGTGAACAACTATCCATGCAGTGCCATTTCCACAGGGGTGTCTGATCACTGGTTCCCCTTGCTTCCACATATACAGCGGAAAAACTACACACCTTTTTTTTAGCGAAATACACTCATTTGCAAACCAATTGGGTTTTACGAGAGACTCACCTGGACCGTAGCTGAATCTTTCGTTGATGATGTTCTAAGTAACTGAATGTGCTACACCAGGCCGTCGCATGTTTCACTTGGTACGATGTTCACAAACGTGAGATTCAGCTGGGTTCCAGGTGAGTCCTTCGCAAAACCAAGTTGGCTTACAAATCAGTGTATTTCGCTGAGTTCGTACAATTTGAGTTCAAGTAGAACCTAAAGTTGACGGAACTTTGGGGACTGCACCTACTTGATGAGCCCCAAGAAGGGCGAAGAAGGGCTGTCGAAGAATTTCCAGCAACATAATGAGTAGTATATTATGCCCATACACACTTTTTTGTTCACACAAAAGGACTGTCGTCCGTGACCCAGTACCCGAGGACTGACATAACCCAGGAGATTATTCAGGGCCAGTTTCAAGGGCCTTAAAAGACAGACAAGTCGCGTTGTTGCACCACAACACGTGAAGTAGTTTTTCATCAACGTGATGTTTTATGCCTAATTACAACAGTCTGAGATAGGAGGTTTGTCTTTCGAGCAAGCAAACATTTCTGGATTGTTTCTCGCGAAACTACCTTGTTGGACAAGGTGGTAACGAAGAAGACAAATGTGGTGCGAACGAAATACGCTGAAAACCCCTCGACAACCCGCAACCCATTTCGTCCTTCTCGGGGCTCATCACGTGTGCGCATTCTCCCGAGTTCCCTTGCGCTTTACTTGAACCCAGATTCCGCAAAATTAGTGAAACAATCTCATTCCCCAACCAATTTGCTTTTTTAACGTGTGACTCACCTGACTCCCAGTGAGTTATGAAATAATATTGGTGTAGCAAAATTAAATAGTAAAAAATGGTTACAAAGCGTGGTTGGGGTACGCTAGATACGACAAACGCCAATCAGTATAGAGACAGCCTCTACATAATACCGCTCAAGAACGACGGTTTTGTACTCAAAGGCGGTGAATCCCAAGAGTTCCGAGAGACAGGAGAAATGCGGCCTCACAACCTTGTCTGATGCGCTCAGTATTTTGTTGAGCGAAAATCCACCATCAAGTTGATGACAAAACTGTCCTAATTGTCAACCACTCTGAAATACACGGACCTGACACTGTCCGCTTGCAGTCGCGTTTACGGGCGCATTGTAGCTAAACGTTTGACTGCGGCCTAATTCACCTCAGACCGAGCGTTTCAATTACAGGTGCTGGTATCCACAATCTTCGCATGGTCTACCGATACTGAACATTGAAGCGTGAACATCCTGAGGTGATCTAGTAACAAATTTCCGCCTGGACGACTGCGTGCAGTCTACTTATTTTCTTGCTGTTCGACAGCTCATGATGCGTTGCACTTGCAGTCAGCCAGTCATGTGACACAGTATTGACTGATTACAGCTCACCCTGACTTCGTTGCTGATCCGGACCAGAAGCTACTCATCAATAGAACTGTCCTGTATCAGTATGATACAGGAGTGAGAGGGATTCGACTCTATCGCTGGAAGACGATTTTCTGAATGAAGAGGTCGTTCGCTGAAGTATGATGTCGATGATTCATCAGAGTTCTGCGGGCGACAGGTTCTAAAATCTTGGACTGCTTGCTTACAGGAAAGTTTGCAAGCTGATTGAAATATACTCCTGGGACAGCAGTGTCCATAAGACTAGGACTGAACTCGGAAAATAAAAGGCTAGCTTTTCTACTGTCGACAGAAGGTCATTTTCACCAGGCTTCAGGAGATGACCTCATACTCAATCGGCAAAGCAAAACAAATCTCACTCTGAAGAAAACCAACTGCATAGAAATGGAGGCTTCCCTGAGTTTTTCCCTGCTTGGTGATACTTCCAACGCCCTACTGCTACTACTATACGCAGATACTGTGGTCTTAGATGGAAGGATACTTTGTCTTCAGTGCTATACTAGCATTTGAGTTCATTGAAACTATAGCGGTCTGTATGCTGTCTCTGTTTGGATGCGCATATTTTGGAGTTGCAAGACCCTGTGCGCTTTCTTCAACATTTCCGCCGAAAGCAGGAGAAATCGAGGTTACACTAAATGGAGGATATTCCGTCTTGAAAGGGGAAGGTGTTCCTTTCGAAGGTCGTAACAGTTAGTCCTCCGAAAGTCCAATAATGATGAGCATTCTGTCCATGAGATCAGATTCACTAGAGAAAGATGACAATACTGAACGGAATACCCATCCCGACCTTCAATGCTTAGGTGTCGTGGTGGGACAAAACGGCGTGAGCTGATGGTGTAGTAGTCATCTCCGTTGTTTCAACCACGCAAGTTGCGTCATTGGACATGCTCTTAACAAGAGGATTTATTGAACAGTCTTTCTTGTGAATTTCGCCAAATGTTGGACTTTATCTATAAGTTGTCTTTTGCTGCTATCGACTCAGAGTTGTGTGAACTGAACAGATGTTGTACGTAGCACTTGCGCTTATCCAAATTCAGACAAATGTTATGGATGTAAAAACTGTATAAAATTCAGATCTGCTGGCATGTTAAGACGTTGGATACAAGAACCTTCAACCGTAAAGTCAGTAACTCGATGCTGAGCAACTGAAATGGTGTCTTACCTTCAAATTTTGCTCATACAGGAAGGTACGAAAGCTCTGTTTGAGCAGACCGCCAATTAAAAATTCTTGGTGACATCAACTCATTCGTTCACTACCTTGACATATCAGAATCTTCTTGTCTCTACTCATGGGATGCGAATGTTCTATTTTCCTCTTTGAATGTATGGATGCTATCCTTCTTAGACACATCTTAGAGCAGTTTGTTCTAAAGTCTATGCAATGGACTGTCATCAGTTTGTTTGCCTATTGAACCTAATTTCGCGTCGATTGGCACGTTACATGCATCCACATTGCTGTGCGCACCCCAAACTACCTTTCCAGGAAAACACTACCAACATGATGTATTCTTTGGTAGAAAAAATCTTAACCTATTTTCGGACTACCTCAAATGCAATTTTTCAACGCAATCGACACTCATCCTCACGAATAGTCGAGACCAAAACTGACCGAAATTCTGCAAATTGGCAGTTCCTTTCACTGGGCAACACGAATATCTTTGTAGTTCAATTTATTAGATATTGTTCACTGCAGAAGATATTAACACAATGGCTCGCCAGTCTGAAATTTGAATTCAAAGCTGATTCGCACACCTGATGACGACCATGTGACCAGTCATTCGATTAGTAGAATCACATGACTCTCGTACTCTGTGTTAGTTTAGTCTGAGTGAGACTGTCTTGCTTTCGTATGTCCGAATCTGACGAAGAACTATCAAAAAGACATTTTTCACGCGGTCTGTGTTTTGAAAAATGAAAAGTAATTTTTTCCTTCGACAAATCGTGGTTATTCTCGTCCGATATGTACTTTTAGAGGGTCAACAACCTTGACAGCTGCTGTAGCGTGAACAGGCAGGTCCTGTTAGGGCACTAAGGACATTGGAATGTCTCTAGGATTCAATGAGTGGTCATGATTAGGGCTGGATTCTCTCCTTACGAATTTCTTTTCCGATGTACAGCTTCGGCGCGAGTGTGAGAGTTTTCGGCACGTGTGCATATATTAATGCTGCCTAACCATGCATGTGCTCCCTACCTGGTGTAAAGTCACATACACGTGTCTTGGGATTAGCTGGCATGTGGAAAATTAATAAAACAGTGGTGGAATCAATTATGGGAACAACGTGGTGGTCTTTGTAGCAGAGTCAGGTGTGAAATTGACCACCATAGTTGCTATGACAGTAACCTCTCGACGCCTCATGATTTGTGTGATTTCTGTGAGTTAAAAGTCGTCCTCATAAAAAGGTGTGGTTGGTTCGGGAGGTGGCTGTGTCGTGAATGAGGGCCATAGGTCTGTCTCGTCGTTCCATAAAGCGACATTAAACTGACGTCAAGTGGTATCGGGTGACACGTTTGACACATCTTTGTCTGCAATCCAAATATAGGGTATTTGCACGAATAGTCACATGCCTCTGCATAAAATGACACCCTGTGACAGGTTTCTGATTTTGACGTTTGTGAAGACTCATTCCGAACGCTGGATGGCTTGTACGTGCAGGTCACAAGTTCACAACATAACATAGTCAGCATTGATTGATGCCAAGTGAGCTAAGCTATGCGGGTTTCAAAGTTGTCTATAATCCTTTCTCAATCCAGCGCCATTTATAAGGTTTCTGGAAGCTATATATGGGAAGTTTAAAGTTAAAACGCAGCATAGTGGAACAAGATGTTATAACCCGACATTTCGGTTGCTGTGGAAAACTTTTTCAAGGTTGAGTTTTCTACTGAGTACGTTATTTGGCTCCGCTATCATGTCTTCTACTTGGTGTGTTACTGAAATCAGTTGGCAGCCCGATACAACACGCGTGTATGTGTTCGTTTCTAGCTCTGTGTTCGCGTATGCTGAATTTTGTGGTTCCGTTAGTTGTACGTCATTGTTGCGATTCCTGCTTGATCTCTGGCCATCAGGATGTGCGGGAAGTCCAAGCCAGATAGACAGGTTGCTGGCTGCGTCACTACACCCCAAAGCTTCATCGCACGCCCGTTATGTGTGTGCCATCGAAGTTGATTTGGTGGCTTGACTCAAGTACGTGGAGTGGCTGAGCCGGGTTCAAGTTTTCCTAACTCGATTGGATTTTGTAAAGGAAAACGCGTATGTACTCTTTGGTTGGCACATGGAGTGGTCTGGTTGTCTGGCTTCTGTTTGGCTGGACATTCTGCACAGGGGATTTGATAGAAGCCGTTTGTGTGGCGTTTCGGTTCGACGGAGACTTTAGTCCTTACAAGGTGTCGTCGTAAAGTGTTATCATTTCGGAAGAAGTATCTTTCGAATAGCGCCTGATGGGGTCGCCCTGCCTCGCTGTTTCGGTTAACGTTCTATTCATTTTTATGGCAACGAGCCCTTTGCTGTAATACCGCATTGGGCTGCTCCAGTCCATTCGTTCACTTGGAGTCGTCCGAGCATCTTTTCTTGATTCGATCCCCCAACGATCCAACAACTGCGTGTTTGACGTGGTGTGAGTTCGTAGGATCATAAAGCAAAAGTCCCTGTCCGCATCTGTGGGTTGAGGTGAACAAACAGCTTGCAGTTCAGGAAACTACTATTTCAGTACTCGCTTTCATCTCCCGTGATGAATTTACACCACTACGATTTTGCTTCAAGCAGTTTAGGAAGACTTGTCTCTATGTTGCTGATATGTCAACTTATCTCAACCAGGTACACGGTGGATTGATGAAGTCACTTGAGCCCTTGGAGAGCCCCTAGCGACACCGTCAGTTTGTCTTGAAAGGTTCTGCAAGGTGGAATTAGTGGTGCTTAGACACAGTGCAGCGCCATATCAAGAGGGAGTTTGGTTGTCCCCTGTGCTAGAGATATTTTCTCAGACAGAAAAGGGGACAGAAATGTGCATAGTCCTTAGAGAGTTTTTACATCAAGGTTGACCTCTACTTTATCATCAGTGATGTGGGTAGATTGTAGAATAATAACAGAATCAAAAGAACCATTCACGTGATTTACGACCAGCTGATAATCCGGCTTCAGTAAGCTGCTTGAGTATTCGAACAAGTTGTGCAAGTAGTGTGGTCCACGATGGGACTCATGGGGGTATCTGTTTTAGTATCTTTGGCGATCCATAGAATCTAACATACGCAAACCTCATCCACAGACGTAGCGATTCCACAGTGATGGAGCATGAGTGGATACACTGAGACAAGAATATTTAAAATGCCGTATTATCTGAATTTTTCGATCACAGGGCTGTCTGATAGCTTTACTAACAATGAATTGGAGATGGTGTTGTTGTGAGGACATCGCTGGTTGACTTCCACTACTTATGAGGCCACTAAAAGCTCTTCGACAGCCCATAACCTGTTTCGCCCTTTTTGGGGCTCATCATATGGACTCATTTTCGAGCTTCCATTAACCTTATGCTCTATCTAAGGCCAAATTGTACGATTTTCGTGAAATACTTTCATTTGCCTACTCAGTCACTTTAATCTCAGCTGGATTTCCCGTTAAACCCAAATTGGTGTGCACAATAGTGTATTTAGCGAGTTGCTGAAAACTTATTAGAAACGAGAGATTAAGCTTATTTTTAGCGGAGACTCGCGTTAACAACAGAAGTGGCCTGCAAATAGGTTGGTAACTCCACATGTTTACCATCTCATTCGCATGCGGTCGGCAGAGATAGCGAAGAGAAAAACAACCCGACAAACCCATTAGATCATATGCTGTTGAAAGGATGAAAGCCTTCGCGTGGAGATGTTTATTAGGAAACACCAACTGAACAGTTACAGACTATTGGACAGGGAAGCAAAACCCTCATGCACATCGTTTTTATAAAAACTAAATATCCGTCTTCTTCTCGAACGCGTCTTCCTGAACTTTGTTGGATATTTATTGTAAACGAATGCTGTAAAGCAATTCCGCAAACTTCATGATAAATCTCACTTTTCAATAGATGCGAAGTGGATTTACGAGAAAACATACCACTCACATGCCTCATCAGTAGTATCCGCCATTACACAGTGCATTCAGAAATGTGCAAAAATATGGTCACTTTGAGTGTTTCACGGTAGCCCCTCAGATCTATAGATTTTCTGTCAGGTTTGCAACGTTTCACGGAAAGTCAGGGCAGTGACCGCCGTGTGGAGGTAGTACCGTACGACACCTAGTTTCCACTGTGACATTCAGCGAAGGCATTGTTCTACCCACGATAAACGAATACAATTTTTTATAATTTAGTAGTCTCCTCTCCGGAAACGTCATTCAGCATGGTGATTGACCTTAGTTAGAGATCATTTATTCCGACAATACTGTCTTCTTCCTGTGGTGTCACCCCTAAAGTGATCTTCACTGAATTCTTCTGATGTCCTTCCTTTCATCTAATGTCACAGCAATCGCCTGTTGGCGAGGGTCAATCTCATACTAGTACGAAGAACTTTATCTTAACCCGACTACCGGTTACCCTGCATCTTTTTACTGCGCTAGGTGCATTCAGAGAGGCCTCATTCGCCAATGAAACGTCCTTCAGATGCTGAATCCCTTAACTGATAAGTTACGACCATCTTGTTAGAAATCTCGCGCATATCTCCCGAATATTTTTTGTAAACACTAATTCGGAAGTTTTGACACGAATAAACTTCATCTTTTTCTAACGAGATGAATGTGCAGATGCATAAAACTTATGTTCACATTTGTAAGGCGCCTATCAGTTGTCTTATTACCGTGTGCCATTAGAACTTCGTCGCTTCGAGTCACGAAAACTTATCATGAAACGACAGCTAGCACTGTAAAGTGGTTTAATTCTATCTATCGTTTCGCTCGTCCAAAGTTTCACAATGTGGACCAGTTCCGATTGGCCCTCGAGCATCTTGGTTGTGTATAGCAGCGTATCATCTATCCCAAATGTCCGTGGATAGTTCCTGGTCCATAGTATGCATCTTCCAGACGTCGATCGGTGCTTTTTTTCGTCTAGTCTTATTTATTGCACTTATTTTCCCTGCCACTTTATTGTCGTGGTAATTTTATACCTAAGGTAACAGCTTCTAGTTGTGAGCCGAACTCTCATCGTTCTAAGCTTCGTCATTCTAAACTTGAAATATCCCTCTCTGATTTCATCAGTTTCAAGTACCCAATCGCCGTCGTGGTTTGAAAGGTAGGTTACGTGCTAGTCCGCTTCTGCCTGCTGCCCGCCGCGGTAGGGTTAGGAAGAAGCCACCTTCAGACACCAGCTCCGTGAAACATGCCCTCAGTTTGGGTTCACTTTTCTCACGAAAACGACGACAGAACAAACCAGAAACAGTCACAGCGCCACAATTCGAACTGGCTGAGGAAATTTGCGAGGAGCAAAGTGAACAAACGACAGTTGACACGCCACCCGAGGGCCCAGTCACAACCCACCAAAGCCCTGATGTTGCGGAGGCCAGTAGTTCAACTGTGTCGCCCTTCGGCGTTCCTCAGCTCGTACTGCCGGTGGATGTGTCAGACCAACAACCTTTGAGGGCGCTTGGCCCTGCACACAAACAGACCTCAAGTCAAAGTCTTCCTCCTGTTGTCCAAGGATTAACTTTGGACTTACCGACGCCTCGGCCGTTGCATGGGAAGCGAATCGAAGGGAAACGGAAGCAGCAAAAAGCATCTCGTGCAGTAGATGTATTACAATGGCGTGTCCCTTTTTCTGACCCCGATGAATCTATGGACGACTTTGTCTCACGTAAGGCTGTTGATATTCTTTCATAGACTAGGCCAAGCAATGTCTACATATTGCTTATCAAAAGTACCTGCTGTTTACTACCATTGAATACTCTAGCTTACAGCTTCAAGGTCATTTGAGTTCGATCTTGATGGCTATTGAAAGCATTTTCTGAACTGAGATTTCTGATAGCGGGAAGCGCGTGCCTGATAGTGTGTTTCATGAACTGATTTGGCAGAGTCATTCTAGGGTGAAATTGCTTTCTCTCGTTTGAGTGTCTATAATTACTTTCTGTGCTTCATATCCATTTTGATGTAAATAATGGTTGCTGTTGTACACTGATCACCGCAGTTCGCCTACATTAACGGGGAATTTTCAACGTCTCCTAGTTTGTACGGTGCATTGGTGAACGCCCGTACACAAAGGGCCACTCATAAGTCAACAATACCGTGTTTAGCGTTCCTGGCATGCTCCGAAAAAAGTGCCTGGCTGACCTTAGGCGCATTCTATCGCCCCTGCTTTTTGAGACCTGGTTTCGATATCTCCCGTGGATGCTTCTTCGGAAAGGTCTTTCTGACCTCCCCTGAAAGTTGTCTTCCCTTGGGGCTTCTTTATCTGTTCCAACCCATATGAACCAGTTCATGTAAAAATGCGCGAGAAGTTGCATAAGTTTCATTTCGGAACTAAACGGTTAGTGACCTTCGACTAGTTTCGTCTTTTCTATATAAAAGCACTGAGGTCCTTGTTTTCGTTATTAATTCAAATTAATCTATAGGAGAGATAAATTTGTATCAGTAAAATGTTCTTTTTTTCATTTTCATGGGCATCATCATTATTGGCGTCATTCACAACATCGGTACTGTCATTATCACCGCACCATCGGTGACGTCAGCATTGTACTTACCGCCGCTATTGTTATCATTTCTGGCGTCGAGCAATGCGTGTGATCAATAGGTGTGGAGTTGGATGACCGCAGATAAAGAAAAAGCACAGGAAACGGGGCGATGCTAAATGGGATTTCATGAAGCAAAACTAGCAAGGGACTCCATAGGCTAGGTGACTAGCTTGTGGATAAGAACTTATAAGAACTGAGGTATGTTGTCATATCGGGAAGTATCTCCAGTCATCAATGGAGTTTGTCACCTGGTCCACAATTCAGTCTTGCGAAATAATATATTTAGGGTTTCTATACCTTGCAACAGTGTTATCCTCGCCAGTCCTTCGTTTAGGGCCTTCCAAGAAGCCTCGGTGGGGCTCTCTTGACATTCAGAAAGGATAAACTCTTCAGTGGAGACCGAGGTTTTATCAGATCGGCCGTCAAGCATGCGTTTGTTCCACTGTCAAATAGGCTATCAAGTGCCATATCATCGCTGATGTCTTGACTGTTGGAAACAACAATAGTCAAAAACCGCGAGCTTTGAGAAATTTCCGGACCGTGGAGATGGACTAACCGCACACCAACACTATAAACTGGGCCCTTGATGTATGAAAACGACATCTTTCGAGTTCGTAATTAATGGAGTGCGGTGCACGTACGTGAACTTGTTACTAGTCCTGATCAGACCACCTACTGTGCAGTCTTGCAACATGAGTTTACAATTTGAAGGGGTACATCACATCCTGTAAAAACCTACCCTTCTATCCAAAAGGTTCAACATTGTTCGCCTGTGTGGGGGTCGAGAACCGGGAAAGGCAACATCAGCAATGTGTGTGGTGTCATTTAGAATTCCACCAGCAGGTAGCTGTGCTCTCGTGGACTTTAATCTTTTATTCTCAATGATCACACATTAGTATTTTGTGAAGCAGACAGTCTCATAATGGCAACTGAATTTGGAGATGTTAAACTCAGCGGCTATCAGTATCTGTGTTGAATGTCTAGTGTCTGTCGAAGCGCTAAAACACCTGATGCAACCATGACCCGAACTAAAGCCTCTCGGATCTTCTGTAGTGGTGCATGCTGAAACAGGTCGTCAAATGTTATCAAAGGCGTTCTAACAGGTTTTGAAAAGTAGGTGGATAGGCTCCAACCACGTCATACCCTTTTTGGTTTTCCATGCACTCCGCAAGGAGGCTTTATCACTCCTGTTACTTGTTTACTGGCTTTTCGCAAGTTCTGCGCACGCTACTATTTGCCGTCCATACCTTTCAACCACAATACAGGTTCGTATGTTTCTTTGGATAGTCAGAACAGTACGCCACAGGCACCGAGATCCAAAACAGATGCCGACGGAGTGGAGCTCAGGCAGGCGGTGAGTCGTAAATTCACTGTAGTCGCCCATGATGGATCCGTCTACGAGTTGCCCATTGGGGATGACATTGTTGTTCCGGCGGCTGCAGAATCTACGGCCTGTTGCCCACTGTCTGACACGACCCTGTATGCATCTTATGAATCGGAGAGTCCGGACGAATTGTCTCTGGTCAAAGCAGCCTGTCGTCAAGGCTGTAAACTGTTGCAACGAGGTCTAGACTTTGTACTTATTTGGCTCCCGAGTAAGCAATCCAAATTGTTTCCCTATCGTGTTTTGTTTTCCGGTATCTGTCTCACACCACCAGCATCCTGGCGTAGGTTATTCATGTTCTAACGCGTGTATTTTATGGGGCGACCCCAACATTCATCTACTTTCATGGTTTCACAAATGCAAGTCGCAACACGTGCTCACCGTAGTAGTCATAGCGGTAAGCCTTCAACACCATACGATTTCTATCGAGTTTTCAGCCCCAAAAGATCTCTCACCGTAGGATAGCCGCTACCGTAATAGAAAGTGCACTTTGGCAGGCTAGTGCCTGAAATAAAACGACAGAATAACTTTAGCATGTTATGACTTCGGAGCGCAACCTTAAAATCAGTTGCCCTCATTGCCTTTGAGTACAGTGGTCCACTGTGACAGATGCCTAGTTTTTACCTTGGCCCCAAGTACAGTCCCCACGCTGGCACCAGAAGACACACAGATGCAAGTAACGAATCGATAATGCCACATACTGACACAGTTATTTTCTTCATGTAGTTCATGTTGGTTTTGTAAGCTTCCTAGTACACATCCGCCACATGTGCCGAACGGAAAGCCCACTAGATCACACAGGGTTGATAGCTTTTGTAGTGGGGGGGGATACGTTCGGACAGATGCTAGAATCTTATCGTCGCAAGTCATGGAATTGGCCTCGGATAATACGCATTTTGAGATTCCCACGGTTTAGTCATTCTTAAGGAGACCGCTTTAGAGGAGGACCACCGTTCTCCATCCCAGGAGAACAGAAGGCTAAATTGACAGTTTTTGTCACTTCAGCTAGCGGGGGAAATCACACCGTTCTTCAAATACGGCCTACTTTTCCAGCGGCCACCTACAGTACAGTACAGGTAGTTTTGACTGAACCGACTGGAACTCTCATCTGTATGGAATGATATGATCCTAAGAGGGCATCCTCAGGCTTGAGTACTTCACTGCTATTTCGCAAGTAGGGTAACATCTTACATCATACTCGACCGCCTGTCGGTTTTCTGCGCAAGGCAAATTGGTTACAAGCGTTTCGTCTTTGAGCGACGTGACATCGTAAATGTGTCGTCAAGATGCGGAGCTTGGTAGTACATGAATGCCCGTGCACTGAGAGATGGCGTGTCTGTGTTAACGCATGTGCTTCCAGCTGTGACTGGCTACCGATTAGATTAGCCGTTTGATCGGTGGGTCCATTGGTTGGTCCGGTAGTTGGTGTTCTGATTGGTCGAAGGCCGCGGACAATCCGCTGTCCGTCAGTGCTGAAAGGAGCTCCGACCTCGACCTCGATAGATTTCACACCATAACCTTTTCACGGTGGTTCCTTCTTTTTGCTCCATTAGTTCAGTAGTTATGCCCATTCGAATATCACCGTTAAGCCGCTGCCGAGATTAAGTCTAGTTTTTGATACAAAAACTCCGTCAGGCCAAGTGCGTAAGTAAGCAGCTTGATTGGGTTTCAAGTCAGTCAGGGAACCAATCTGTGAGATTTCTTACGACCAGCCCACTTGAGCGGTGCTAGGTCTCAGTATGATATTCCTGTTTGTTGGTTAGTGGGGATGACTAACATTTACGATAGATGGTTAGGGAGAGTTGTCTTCATGTTGAACCCGGATTTTTGCGGCCTTGATTTTTCCGTCTAGGACACTTTAATTGAATATTCCTCTTGGGGTCGTTCACAGATTTCGCTCGCCTGTGCTCGTCGAGAGATGCCGGGGCAATTGGTTCGGGATGGGAGTGGTGCCCAACAATAAATTCACCGATTGTTTACCAAACCTCTTTGAAACGATAGGTACTTTGTCCTTATTTGCTAATGAACTTATGTCCGGATACCAGATAGCTTCTCCAAGTTGCAATGCACGTTTGGTGGAGCTGATTGTTCAAACATTCATTCTCCCACTATTCTGTGTAATAAACAGTACAGTCAGTGCTCTCATTTAGCGCATCTTAGAATACTGTTGCGGTCGGGTTTCTACTAAACTCATGTCAAATACATCCTCCAAGCGAGACCCATGTGGGAAGTACTTTTGTGAACTTTGCAGGGGAGCGGTTACAGTGCCTTGTACCCTCAGTCTCAGGTGCGGGATGGCTCAGTGGTTAGAGCGCCAATTTACTGACCGGAAGATCCATGGTTCAAACCCGTCCCCTGTCTAGGCTTGGGCAACCTGGCAGTATCCCAGACCTCGCGCTGCCTTCGGGTGGCATGGCAGCTAGGCACCGAGAGGGTGTTACAGCTGAAAGAACATCCTCAGTCTCACAATGTATTTTTATTCATCCGTATAGTTTTCTTCAGTGACTGACGATACTTTGTGAACAACAATTCTGCCAACTGGTCACTGATAGCTCATATCTCTCTCTTTCGACCTTTTTGGCCCTCTACAGCTGATGGTCTTGTTGGCATCCGGGTGCTAAATATTCTACCGTTTGACTCCATAAGGAAACGAATGTCAATTCTGATTCGCCATCCAGCCACTAACGATGCGATTCTCTATACAAAAGGTGCAGATTCGGCTATTTTGGACCGTGTGAGGTGTACAAGTAAGTCAGCTTGTAGTGCAAAGATGACACGAGGCAGACATTCACAGAGACCGATCTTTCTGTTATCACACATGTTCACTCCAAACCCTTAATATTGATGTTTTCATTCTACCACCATTCGAGTGGCACCATCTGATTCTTTGAAAGCTTACTGCTGAAACAGGACTATCAATCAGTGAGAGCTCATCCTCAGTGGGTCGTCATTGGCTGCGTTGTTTAACAAATCCATAGGCAGCGCGGACCTTTTCCATCGTAATGCCCTCAAGCATATTGTGACAATGGCTTTCGTGAGGTGTATAACTACCGAAATTGTACGAAGCACTAATGCACGTTTCCATCTGATTCGGGCAACATGTTCCAAAGCCAAGTCTTAACTACCCTGTCACAATATCTGTATTCAGGCTAGGCAATTTTACTGGCCGAACTTCAGTTACTTCTCCAGTGTCTCGTTTGTCGTTCTGAGCTTGCTCCATTATGTTGAAAGACCGCGTTGTGGTCATTTTGAGGCAGTCGGTCACTGTCATTAGCTCGAGCATTACACTTCTCCGAAAAAGTACACTACAGGGGCAGTGTTCTTTTCGGAGGATGAACTCCGGAATGTCTCCTCTCTTAGGATAGAGGCAGCTTCCAACGGGGGTAAAGTATTGTTGTCTGTCGTTAAAAAGGCTTTTTGGCGATGGATTTCATGTCAAAACGGATAAACGGGTCCAAAATCTTACAGCCTTTTTTGCGAGAACGACAACTAGTCCTACCTTATCGGTTTTCCTCAGGTTATGGGGAGCCTCCATTCGGACTACAAAAAGCCTATTTACACTGCAACGCGATGGAATCAAATGCACCTATTGCCCGTCATTAAGTTACTGTCTGTGCTTCCGTCGGATGGCATTGCATCAATACACCGAGTTGATAACAAATCCAAGCAACTAGGCCTTCATTATCCTTATGCTTATTATTTCGAAATTTTTCCCGTTGATTGATTTCATGCTTCATGATTCACACTGGACTTCGGTAAGCACAATCCTTCCCCGCTTGTCACTTTCCGGAGGTGAGATATGGCACTCGTAGCTAGACATAACTTTACATCCCTCCTAGAAAATAAACGCACGAAATACTTTATGTTGCAGGTCTGTAGTGGATTTGAAGAAATAAGTTATTTCCCCCACCGATGGCAGCATTTTATTTACTAAGCCTGACATGCCGAGAATTTAGGGAAGGTTAGAGGAGGATGCAAAGGAATTCCTCTTCAAAACATGGTGTCAGACAAGCACATATCCAAAACCACTGTATAGATGTCCAGGTAGGTTACAGGAAACCAACACGAAGCTAAACAGGACCAAAATCTCGACAAAACCATCGGTCCATAAACACACTACGAAAGTCGAACCAGGAGGTCACAGTGGAAAACTTGACCATTCATTAACCACGGCCGCACAGTGTTTGCTTCCTCTTCTTACCAAGGACAAGTCAACAAGTTTCGTTGAGTTGCTCTTGTCTTGCACAACTCAAGTTTCAAAACCCCAAATAAGCTGAATTTGATGTTTTGCTTCTTATCCGTTTTGCCATTGTAAGGCCAAAAAATCGGGTTTTTGGTTGTGCCCGTTCGCGATTCTCAGGCTGGATGCCCGCTGGTGTTTCGTGAGAAGCTGACTGCTGATGATTCCCAACTAGGATAAAACCGCTGCGCTGAGCTTCTCGGTTTTTCGACATTCGTTGGTTTCCTGTAAGTGAGGCCCATCTATACTTGAAAGCCGACAAGCACTGTTTCATTCCTGTTGAGCGTGATCAACAGTACGTGGCTCACGAAACTTAGAGAGTTTCGAACCCGCAACCTTCCGGCCACTGGTTGAACCGTTCGGCCACGAGGGGCTGGTCAGCAGCATGAGTATGCATCACTTGAAAAGAACATAGGCCATCCATTCTTCACGGAAACCACAACGCATCGTAACGTATTGACTGGCTCCTCGAATGACAAGTTCTCAGATTGAAACTTTACTCATCTCGTGAAACTATCCTTCGTGTGGGCCACACAGATTTTGGTCTTATTGTGAGGGAGAGGATTTCGCAAGGTGAGTGAAACTCCCGTCTGAGACGGTCATTCGAAGAGCCGGTCAAAACGCGGCCACTTGATTGAAGGATGAGTAATGCTATTCCTTGTCTAAGTGGGAGCCAATCACACAGCAGCTCATGGCTGAAGAGTTAGGTGTTCAACCACAGTTTGGACGGTCGTGGTAAGGAAGCTCTGAGTTTCGTGAGGTACGTACTGCTGATGATTCCCATTAAGGATGAAATGGCTGTGCAGTGCTTTTAAGCCTTTCGGTATAAATTGGCTTCGCTGATAAGTTAAAATTAAAATTTAAAATTTAATTTGAAAGTAAAAAATCTTGCACTACGACAGGCTGGCTTCAATTACCAGATGAAAGCTTCAAAATCTCTTCAAACTACAGAAAATAAATCGGTACAGGACAGTCTTCACGAATGAAACCACTCATGAGGTTACTGACAACTACTCAACAGCCCACAACCTGTTTTGCTGTTCTGCAGGCTCATCAGGAATGCGTAATTCCCGAGTTTCCGTCAACTTTGTGTACTATTTGAACCCGAATTGTACGAAATTCGTGAGAACGGGTGTACTTCGCGAAGGACAGTGTCTGTTGTATCGTGGGTGGCCGAGCTATTGGGTTACGCCTGCACTGTGCCTGCCAGACTACGCGATAGGGAGAAGGCCGAGAACTGGGGACACGGCTGTACTGTTAGGGCAAAACATACAGAGCGTCTGCGTAAATATATAGGATGACCAAATGGCCAAATATGGTCGTTCACTTGTTCGTTCCGTACAGCCAATGGCGGTGTTCCGGTCGTGAACACTCTCAGGCCCACTACGCTGGTCGTATGTTACTAAGCCGTGTTTGGTGTGCTCCGCCAACTCACCTGCTTTCTGGACGTGTCGAACCGATGGTGACCTTGGGGATGCGTCACTCTCAGCACATGTACTTTTTCCAAGTCCGGGTGCGTCCTGACAGTGTCTTACTCCCTGTCTAAGAAATTTGAGATTTCCGCTTGATCGGTACGTAAGGGTGTGTGCACCATGGTCAGATTATGGTTGGCTGTGCGGTCGAATTTTGATGTAATATCCGTGGGAGTAAGGTTTATTTCGGATATCTTACTGCTAGGTTCGTGATAAACAATCCCAATTGTCCAGATTCCATATCCACTTCACTGAGCATGGTTTGAGAGTTTACCAATGCAACCTCTTCTTACGTCTGAGTTGTTTCATGCAACAGTAGCAAAACTCTTGATCGTGTGGAAAGTTTTAAAGTCAAGACACAGCGTGGTGGTATGAAACGTTTGGGTTGCCTTCGGAAACCTTTTTCAAGGGTCTTTGAAAAAAAATCGCTCACAGTAACCGAGACCGCTACGGTTTGTTCTGACTTTCCATATGAAACACCGCATGGCGCTTAGTTTGCTTAATAAAATCCGAACCGATTTTTGTCCGAAACTTCTGATCCTCATCATTCCTAGTCCGAAATTGTATGGGCCGTTAGTGCATCATAATTTCAGTAGTATTTAGCTTCCAGATTACCGCTTTCCATCCATAATTTGTGTTATGGTCAAAAAACACGTATTCCATTCCATGAAAACCTCTCGGAGCGGTGAGATGAGCAGCATTCAGGAGGCAACCACCTGGCCAGACTGTCAAGCACTTCATCCAACTCCACTGTATTTACCCTTCAACGACCTTCAACGTCATAAAAGTGTGTCAAGGCAATACTTTCAGTGTTTGTCTGCACGACCAGTCGAACCAATTAGTAATAGGCTCGCAGCTTTTGCCTTAACTCACTGTTATTTTGCTCTTGTAGACGTCGCTGAAACAAGACGACTGGAAATAACTCGAATGCATGTTGATGAGTTCTCGCGAGCTGGACTGCGCACTTTGGTGGTGGCAAAGCGGGTAGGTGATACGTTTATTCTTGTGGATCGACTCAGAATCTCATGTTATTTTCGATGTTCCTGTGGTGTTCCGATGTACCGTTCGCAGAAAATATACGAGTTGCTATGTACGTAAAGGTGGGCTGTATATTTCCACCGAGAATTTGAGCACATATCTGGTCGCCGGTAATCAGAGTGTTCGATTGCGTAAAAAAGCTGCAATTAACTGACTAAGGTCAGCTAGAATGTTTCTTGCAATCGATGATGCCATGTTAACAGCCTGGTACCTTCTACCCACGTATCGAATACTTTGGCTATTCTTTGAGTAAAACGCTAGCCGATCCTACCGGGATTAGTGTCACCTCAAATTCAGGTAAACTGATAAATGACGTGTACGACCGAGAGACTGGAACTTCCAGATCGAATAGGTCTAAATCTAGTCCGGTGGTTATAGTAGATTGTCTTCAATTCTGCAGCCGCAAAAGTCCTACCCAAAGTTATCCCTTGCTCTTGTCTAATGTTTGCAAATATGTGACCATACTCAAGTAGAAATCGCACGAAAACCTTCTTTTCGCCAAAGCCCACCCTCGGTTTTTGCACTCCGTGCATTTGGCCGAACTGCCCCAGATACCTATTCTCTGGTGGAGTTTTTTTCAGGATCTCTGCTTTGTGTAACTCATCTCGAGTGTAAATGCTTCTTTTCCCATAGAACAGCCTTCTAACTAGACCGTAGTTACATGCCGCAGTTGTGAAACTCAAAAAGTGAATGTAATAGGTATGACGGGTAGTGTGGGATAGTGTATTAGCGAGATTTCTAAAGTAACTAAATAGTCGCCTAACGCTCCGTAAACCACCTATACATTCGGGTGAATACTAACCTGATCAAGGAGAAACTGGGTTGTTTTTCACAAGTATAAGTGAAGCTGTCTGGGAATACAGTCTTCGAATGGCATTGGTGGAATTCGTAGCGATCTGATTTCGGCGTTGCTACTTTCATAAATAGAGAATCGATCTCGATAGGAAATATCTCTATGGAGCATACTGTTATTCAGAATATCCGTATGGTGTTCGAGACGAGTGATTTCGAGTAGACAGTGGACTGTGTGAAAAAACAATGATAATTGTAGAGTTTATTGCATATACTCAACGTTTCATTCACCGAGGGTAACCTTCGTGCTGACATTCCATCAATAACCCGACAAAGTTTGAAAGGGTGCTTTGAACGGTTAAGCGTTAAACTTGTCCTGTACAGAACTCCGGGTTTCACATTGAGTCTGTGCGCTTCCAGAGAGCCTCACATTCCAGAGGAGCGATGGCCAGTTCAGGTTGATCACATGTTGACTAACACTAGACAGGAACCAAAAGCTGTCTTGGATCGGACTGAACCACTGAAGATTTCAAGCTACTCAATTGCCAGTATCTGATCTGCGTACCACACGTGTTATCCATAAGTTCACTTCCAATTTTCGTGTAGAACAGACCAGCTTTTTAGAAAAACAACAGCTGAGCATGTTCAGATGTATTTGATACACAGATTGAGACACCAAATTGCCAGTCCAACTAGGAAGACTCAGCATCATTGAATGCAAGATACCTTCTAATCGCAGATCACTCAGTTGACCCCAGTCGGTTATGCACACTGTTTTGTTACGCAGTCGAACACCTCAGTCGTTAAATCATTGCTGCTCAGGTTAAAGCAACCAGCATTGTGTGCAAAAAGTATCGACTGAAAACATCTCTCTTTTGACATTGGTATCAGAATCGCCACCATTCTCTGAGTGTCTTTCATCCTTGTTACCACGCTCTGAATCTCTGAATATGTTATACTCAGACAAGACAAAACAAAGGTCCCAACATTTGTATTTTCCCACTCTTTGATCAGGTTAGTTAGGATGACCGGGTATTTCAATGATATCTATTCGTTGAAATTGATTTACTACTTCCCCGAAGGCTTTTTGCTAGCCTGGCACACCAGACAGCGTGTACTTTTAAATCACAGCACCTCAGTCTTGCGTTTTGATCGATTGTGCCAAATCAGATTGGAAGATTTCGTCTCGTGACTCTCTACTGAACTCCCTCACAGTTGGTACCACGTAACAAGACGCTTAACATGTGGCAAAACTGAATAGGTTGCCCAGTTTGGACTTGGCTTGCTAGCTGAGATCGTGCTACCTCCTGTGGTGATTCTGTCCGCGCAACCAATCTCGGACTATGCTTCTTCAAGGTCTTCTGCTTTTGGGTTTCCCTCCATGAGCACGAGTTCACTGTAACGCGCATAGCCAGTGCTAGGGCACTCAATCCTTCCCGGCTCGTGTTAGCAACTTTTCGAGTGGAATTTCTGCTGATCAGCCACTCGTGGCCGAACGGTTAAGTGTTCAAACTACTAGCCGGGAGGTCGCGGGTTCGAGACTCTTCGGAGTTTCGTGAGATGCGCACTGCTGATGATTCCCAATAAGGATTAAACAGCTGCACAGTGCTTCTCGGCCTTTCAGCATAGATTGGCTTCACTTACAGGACGAAATCCCTCAAAAATCCCAAATCTCCTCACACTACCAACAACACTCGGTACTGTAAGTGACCATATTTTGCTTTTTCGTCCATCGTTTCGGTACCTAACCGCGATATAGATTCTAGTGATAAAATCCAATCAGGTGGTGCACCGATAAACGCGCAGTGACCTGCTTTGGAACGGTCAGTCGAAGCACGTCATTAACCTAGTGTGGTTCGACTGACCGTTCCAAAGCAGGTCACTGCAGGGGGCGAGATGGACCGAGTGGTTAGAGCGCGAATTTACTGACCGGAGGGTCCGTGGTTTAAACCCGACCTCTCGACTCACCCTGTCTAGGCCTGGGCAACCTGGCAGTATCCCATCCCTCGTGCCTCCTTCGTGTGCAGCTAGACCCTGAAAGGATGCTACAGCTGAACTTTTTTTACCTACTGTGGTTTATTTCGAGGCGCGTAATCTAAAAGCACAAGGTAGCTGTCTAGCGTGACAAGGTTTTTAAAAGGCCTTTAATAAAGTGGGCAAGTAAATATTCTGATCCCTGCAGTAGCGTGTAACCCAAAAGCTCATGCAATCCGTGGTTTTTCTTGTTTTCCGATATAGTTCTGATTTCTGATGAAGCTCATGGACCGTAAAGCTCTCCAAAATGTCATACATACACACATGACCGTTAGACCAGTTGTAAGGTCGCCCCCTGATAGTTCGTTGTCCGCATCGTGTACAGCCTGCTCTCTACCGCATTTTGAACATGAGATCTGACCGTTCATTAGAGCACAAACCCACAGCAATTTTGGAAGATGCTCTCTCAAAATCTCATCAACTGTAGCTGCAGCTCACGTAGTTAGGACGTGACCGCAAAATCCCGGATCCTCAGGAAGTAATAGAGTCCCCTCTCAATAGATTTCCCATGGAATCTCCGCAAAATTTGCTTGTCTTTGTACGGCTGTTACTCCGGAAGTCGTATGATTTATCAGCTTTTCCCCAGTGTTCTTTTTTCTTTTTATTTATCCATTTATTTTTTTATTAAGTACGTGTGTACAGTCATTTGCAAATTATAATAGTACTAACGGAAGACTCCAATGAACTTCCCACTTATGGTATTCTTCAACAAAATGTGCTACACAAAGGCCAATTCATAGTTCAGTTGATACGATATTCGAGATAGTGCTCTACGTTGTATTGGTGGAACACAGTACTTATAAGATTCACGAAAGCTCTTGGACAGCTCGATTTCGGGCTCTTCATGTAGGCGTAGTCTGTGAAGAATAGACGCCGCGATATTTCGGAGACTGTGCCAGATGAAACGTGCAGTGACTTTGTGCAGCACGGATATCATAAGCGAGAAACTATTTGAGAGTGTGTCGTTAAGACCAATTCAATTTGCAAGTGAGTGTATTCTGTCAGTTACATGTAACGCGGGATTCAATTAGAACATAGCTTTGATGTAAACTTGGTAAATACGCCTTCTTGGTGACCCCAAGGGTTGGTTGAAAACCCTATGTACAGCTGATTAGGACGGGTAGGCGGTACCCGGCTTGAAGGCGCCAATTTGTTGGAGGCCTTACCCAATGATCAAGCTTTGCGCCCAACGCAGCCGCATGGCAACTAGTACGAATGCGACAGTACCTCATTTTTTCGTGTGTGCTTTTCCGCTCTCGGTGACCTTACTGCATTCCGTCCACAATCCTCGCTTCCATCCGTCGCTCTTTCTCAACAGATTGTACCGGAGGATGAGTTGAAGACCTGGTCACGAGAATATCTAGTCGCCGAAACTACGGCTCAAGATTCGGCAACTGCTCTCCAATCTCTTATGGATAAGATAGAACGTGACTTCACGCTTCTTGGTAACTTTGCATTACACATCTTATTTTTTCAATGCTAAAATCCCATTAAATACGCATCTCAATATTTCATCGGCAGTCCATCACCTGATTCATTGGGCCGCTAACGAACATCCAGCAAACGGCGTCGGATGATGTTCTCTCTCTCACCAACAGCACCCACTTGTGATAAACAGCAATTTCCCATAAGGGACACAAATGCGGAGTGTCGTCGAGTTACATGCGTGCGATGGAATGCCTGATCTTTAGTAGCCTCTTAGAGCTCACTTATTGTAATGTTATATACACAACAGCTTGAACTCAGAACTGACCGGTTATAAACCGAAATGCGTCACCCACAGAACGTGCCTCATTTTCGAACTAGTGATTTAAATTCAAACTTAGTTTGAAAACAGCCACGGGAATTCCCTGCTTTACAGCTGACCATTAATCGATATGTGCGCGAGGATGCCGCCTGGGCACCCACACCTAGACAGGAGGACAGTTTGGGCCCTCAACCAAAACCTTTGGCTAAAAAGCCTGACTGCATGGCAACAGTGTTTGACTGGAAATGCAAGTACATTACCATTTTTACAGAATACGCTGCCACACATTTTCCATCCCCCACCTGGAGGACCGAGAGACTGTGTTCGTCAGACCTTTAACCATTGACCATCCTGGTATCAGAGATTCTGCGAGTGTTGCGCGGACACCCGGTATAGCTCAACAGATCGCTGAGGTACACAAACCGTCACATCACGGTAAGGTCCAGTCTCTTCGTGACGGTTATAGATTGATAGACTGTGCCAGGTGCTGCTCTGTTAGAATGTCAATCGGAGGGAGGCGAGAAATTAGGCTAGAAGTTCCTGGACTATGGTGGGAGTTTACATGAACTAGCCACACAGCCACAAGTGATTCGTACCAGTCTTGTTCCATCCTACCTTTTCTCAAGTAAGAGGTTTGGCAAACCAGAACTGGCGACACTGCTTTCGCATTGCATCGTACGACTGCCAAATAAGTGACTAAATGCTATACAGTTCCTTAGGTAGGCAAATTTCTTCATTGCTATCTCCGTTGAACCACACTCAAATCGTAGTAATAGCAGTGGCGAATGAACTGCGAAGAATCAATAATGTGGCTATTTTGGTGTGACTTATTTCTTTCTTCAAATGTTAGGGACGGTGCTAAGTTCGTCCATCTCTTTAGCCTACTAGAACCAAGTCAATATGTTCATTTTCCTTCTGCTTCTACTCATCTGGTCAGGTGTGACAGGTATCGAGGATCGATTACAAGAAGGCGTACCTGAAACCATCGAGTGTTTACGAGAGGCCGGCATCCACGTGTGGGTCCTCACGGGCGACAAACAAGAAACCGCGGTGAATGTGGCTCATGCGGCTCACCTGATCACTGACGAACATAAGCTGATTTATATCAATGCATCCTCCAAGGTAACGAAAGATTTGTCCCCCTACGGACTGCTGTTCCACGACTAATGTGCATCTTATCACCCTTATTGTTTTTACGTCGGTCGTTACGGTAGACAAGAGCCGAGCATTTCAGCCGGACAAAATCCTCCCCTCCTTGGAATCAGCTCCCGTTGAGATAAAAAAAAGTGCTTCTCCTTTAGTGGAAGGAGTAAGGAGACTTACGTTTTATCCTTGGGGAAATCTGTTCCGACGTACTGATCGGCTCCTGTGTCAATATGTCAAAGCAAAAATTAGTGGCTCCAAACTCCTCATTCTAGTTACGATCCGTGTCAGAATGAGATCCCTGATTCCATTTCTTACTCCGGTTCAACTGCATTCCCATTCTTTTTGAGTGCGGTGTTTATGACATTCCATGTGGGCATTACGGTGATTTACATTAGAGACCATAAATTGTTGATAATGTGTTGGAATATTGGTGAAGGAAAGAAGGCCCTCGCTGCGGAGTTATTCATTATAAAACACCAACTGAACAGTTACAGGCTATTGGACAGGGAAGCAAAACTCTCATATGCATCGTGTTTATAAAAGCTAAATATCCGTCTTCTTCTCGAACGCGTCTTCCCAAACTTTGTTGGATATTCATTGAACATCATTGGAATGTAAACGAATGCTACAAATTCCGCAACAAATCTCCTTTTTCAGTAGACGCAAAGAGGACTTGTGAGATAACATACTACTCGTATGCCCATCAGTAGTTTCCACCGTTACATCTGTAATTGTTGATAACTGTTGTCGCAAAAACTGGGGAGGATCGTATTACCAAGCATCAGTCCAAAACTATGGATACGTTATGTAGACAATACTTTCATCGTCATCAAAGAGAGCGATTCACCACGTACAAGCCAACTGGTAAACATCGTCTACAAGAAGAAGACAACAACGAGCTAGAGGTTTTATATGTCCTGGTCACAATATTGCGAAATTGACAGATGCAAACGGAAGTTTACAGAAAGGTCACGGATGCTGGCCAATGGCTTAAATAACACAGCAACTATCCAAACTGTCACAAACAGAGCTACACTCGGATACTATTCAAGCGAATCGAAATTCCCTGCAATAGTGTAATCCAAGGCGAAAGAAGAGAGACGCTTACAGAAGTCTTTCAGATAACCGGTTGGCCAAATGATTTCCTGTGGAGATCTCCGAAAAAATACAACTCAACCAAGTCGACGATTCAAAATACAAGCAAAACTATTACACTACCATACATAAGGACCATTTTGGGGATGAAGTCAAGGATACCATGACGGCTTGACATAAGAGTGACTCACAAACCTAGGGAAACGCCGCGAAGAACGCTATCGAGACCAAACGGGGAAGCTAATGCAGTCGGAAACACAAGCGTTATCTACCAAGTTCAATGCCAGAATTGTGGCAAATACTGCGTAGGAGGTGTGAGGAGAAAAATGTTAGCCACGTTCAATGAAGACAAGCTCGCTACTAGAAGACACGATCAACTCGCTCATCTCTGTAAATGAAGACTGAGAAGGACACGAATACAACTGGAAACACCTTAGCGTACTAGGGCAAGCAAGAACAAAGAAAGAAGGCAAATCCATGGAAGTATGGTACTCCGCATTGTGATTGAACCTGTCTATCAACCTCTGGGGATAAGGGAAATCCAGAACCATCAAATATTGAATGGAACAAGGAATCAAAGTAGAAACCAATAGAACTGAAGCAATAAGACATCTGGATTGAAAGGGCAAATCAATTGAAATGGAATTTACAGCTCGCATCAAGGATCACCAAATCTGGCTACCAAACGACTCGAAATAACGAGTGCCCCACAGGAGGGAAAACAACCAGGCGCATGAAAATATACTGCAAGTCTGGAATGGACCAATCAGGATGAAGACAGCAAACTGTTAAAAATGGAAGGTACACCATCAGGCAATCACACAACAGCAAGTTGGACTATGGTGCAGCACAAGTCTTGAACGGACCAACCAGAAGAGGAGATTGTGGACAACCATTTCAGCATGTGATGATGCGATCGGACACGAGACATACGAACCACTACACAACACAGCTCATGGTCGGGCCAACCAGACTCCAGGTTCGATGCCTCCCAATAGCCAGTCAAGTCATAGCTCAGAGCTGCTGTTTGCAAACTACATAAATACAACTTCGAAGAAGGAAAATACCCACACAATACACCGATCAAGTTTTCTCATTTGGCATGCTCGACAAACATATCAACATCTACTTGATCAATTAAACATCTTGTCTAAGCCTCATCTAGGCCACCCGGTTGACGGTCACGTTACTCTTTTTATGCACCACAACCTGGTGGTTCATAAACTGACTGACTGCCTGACACTTCGGTGAATCCTACTTCATAGTGACCTTGCCGGGTAGTTTAGCTGCCTGTCAATAATCATACTTGCGGCTAATTTCGTCAGATCATTCTGCCGTTTAAATTTCGACATCACGATTTTCTGGTTGCGTCGTTGGTGTGGCAAAAACCAAAGGCGAAGTGTCAAGTGACAGGATGAAAGTCTACCATCGATTGGCAGTTTTGATATAATAAGCTACTGTTCGTCCTCTCCGACGGTTCAGTCACTCGGACTGTTTCCTCAAAGGAGAGCGTGAATCCGAAGCGATCGATTATCTGTCAGTGGCTCTAGGCGGAATATTGCCACTCACCGTATACCTCAAATACCGCAAACTTTGAATGTTTGAAGTGGATAGTGGGGCGGCTCACAACCAGTTGTTTACTTGTATAAAACGGAGTAAGAAAGTCTTAAAACAGAAACTAAGGGCTACATCGACACCAACTAAACACGCTGCTAGAAGTTCCTACTTGATAGTGCGATGTTACGGGAAGCTCAATTAATATTCTTGGATCATGTACTGGAAGTTCAGAAATGTTAAACTACCAAAATTCAAAGCCTACCACTTCACATTAATAAAATTAGGCCGAAGTTCTCCCGACCTTGCCGCGGTACAAGAACTAAGCAGATTTCTCACCTGACGGTAAATTGATCAAAAGTCTCTGCATCAATCTGCTGTATTTTAGTAGAAGAGAAATGTGTGATAGATTGAATATTCTCATGTTTCGTGAGTGACCAAGTTAAACCCTGCCCTGTTGTTCAATGTTCGCTCAAATAGTCTGATAACCAGGTGCAGAAAGAACACATCTCTTAGTTGCTCATCTTAAGCGGTTTTATTCATGAATCCTGTTTGTTCCGGACACTAATATTCTGTTTTCTAATGTTTTTGTAGACACGGACGGGCTACCTAATCAACTGTCACTTGCATTCTTTATTATTCGGACATCCATGGCCTCAATGTGACGAAATCAACGATGTGGTTAGTGATGACCCTGATATTGATTCCTCTTCGTCCTACTCCTCCCCTTCCCCGTCGCTGAACGGTTTTTCCCGAACCTCGGTCAACTTCAATCACGTGAGCACACATTCGAACCCCAGGCATGTTCGCGTCTGTTCGCCCCCGACGCAGGTTTATGATCGTCTCCAACTGTCAAACGGTCGGTCGAATCGCCGAATTACCCGGTCCCTATCGGAAAGTCGTGCACCGCCTCGGCGTCCACGAAGACGACCTCGTTTGAAGAAGCGTATGCACATCAGAAATCTGCAGAGGCGTCGGGCGTCTATTGAGACCTCCAAACTCGCACTCGTGATTGATGGAGAGACACTTCAGTTCGCCTTGGAAGAGGATATGAAAGGAAGCTTCCTTCGACTCGCGCGACTTTGTACAAGTGTTTTGTGTTGCCGTTCCACACCATCACAAAAGGTGAGCCTGTCATTATGCCTGAACAGCTTCAGTTGGGTGATTCTAATGTGTTGTGCCACCTGTGCCATCAGTCGGTGGGGACGGCACGAAACCGTTGTTGGAATTCTGTCCTCCATAAAATGCAAGAACAATTTGTCCCTGATACAGACCATCTAACACTGAATAGTCCGGGACAATTGCACAATTACTTTCCTTAGCCTCTGTAAATAATGTGGATGTCTCGGGGTTTCACTTCAGGGCAGTGTCACAAAAGACTAAGTCCTAGCCGTAAGGCAATACTCATGTGCTTTTTTAGGACTCTTTGACAGACCACAACCGGTTTCGCCCTTTTTGGAGTTCATCAGGTAGAAGCAGTCCCCGCTTTTCCGTCAACTTTATGTTCTATGTGAACCCAAATTGGACTAATTTCGACAAACGCACTATTTGCATACCAGTTTGGTTTTGACAAGAGAGTCATCTGGAACCTATCTGTTTATTGATTGACCATTTATATCGACCACGTCCTTCTTGTCACGACATGGGTGTTTCTAGGTGAACACTTGTGAATATCACATTTCATTTGGAGCTGAAAATCCATCTGTAATTGCTCCCATTAAGCCTAGCTTCTGTTTTCATGAAAGAAAGACTCTTTGGCCTCAGAAACCCGTTTCTATTCTGGCTGCTTAGACAGTTAAGTTGTTCAGTTTTAATTTCCCACTCTCATAGCCCTCATATTCGGGTCAAACTCGCGCGCCTCCGCTTATTCGTGATTGGTTACACGTCCTGATAGCCCTTCGATTACGTCCTGCGCCGATTAGAGCTGAGGAGGTAGGGTAAATATACTAACCACAGAATATCGGTTTCTTTACGATCGTTGAATCGGTGAGCTATTACGCTTAGCTTCTCTGTGACCTCATTCCGTTTATACTCGTTCTCAGGCTAGTGTTGTCAGCTTGGTAAAGAAAGGATTATCCGTACAGACACTGGCGATTGGCGATGGGGCAAACGATGTCAATATGATTCAAGTCGCTGATGTTGGAGTGGGGATCGGTGGCGAGGAAGGAATGCAAGCGGTGATGGCATCCGACTTTGCAATCAGTCGATTTCGCTTCCTCCGTCGCCTGGTCCTTGTGCATGGGCATCTGTGTTACGAAAAATTGGCCCATACTGCTCTCTATCTATTCTACAAAGATGGTGTAAGTCATATTTTGTCTGCCAACATCGATGCACTGTTTCTATAGCGTTGTCTGCATAGTTGATCGGAAAAGTTTCATCATTTCGAGCTCTTGTTCGCGAATCCGATACATCAATACGGTTTTATGTCTGGGATTTTTGTGACTAGAGTTAGAAGAGATGGGTGAATGGGTATATGGACAATCGCCCCTTGGAAACTGTTACAGAGTAACTGGGTTGATATCTCTGAAATAGCCCACCAAAGTGGCCTAGGTTACTATACGGAATCACATCTTGCCAAATATTGTGTAGTTCTGGTGCTCATTCCCTCCTAGTGTAAGACACGGGCTTACCATCTGGTGAAGTACACTCGACTGGAGTAAGCACTCAATTGAAAGCCTTCACCATGCACAATGATTACTGTTATAAACTACTACTAGTGTCCAAACGTCTCTGCCACCAACTTATAATTAGTTGGACATTGGATGGCCGTGCCCTAGTAGCACGAAAGGTTTAATGACAGTTGTGTTATGGGTGGAATAGCTCAGTGTTTAAGGCGCTAACTTACCAAATGGAAGGTCCTGGTTCTTATGCACCGACTGTAAATCGCCGAAATTTAGTCATGCTCTGCACAAGCCCCTGTAGGCTGTGTGGTTCGGAGCGAACACCAGACTGGTATTAGCTTCAAAAGACTCGCTGTATGGCAACACCAGTAGGCTCGGAAAACATCACCGACGTGTTGCGCCTTGCTGGACGGTAGTGCAACTCTGTATCGGTCCCTTGGCTTCCTGCTTCGCCCACTACGGTATATCAAAAGGCGCGGTAGCTCTACACAACCCAGTATGGAGACAAAAGGAGAATCATTACATCTGTATTTATAGGTTAGTCACAGAGTGTTCCACAAGGTCGTGCCAAAATCTCTGTTAGGGGGGGGGGCGAGAAGCGTCGAGTCAAAGGTGCTTGGCTCGGATTGGCTGGCATTCTGACCAATCAGGGCATGCCTTCGTTTGACCCGTGTCCTGCACGTGACACACCCGTCTAAATGATGTGATGTTCGGTTATTAGGGACGGCTAGCCTCCGAACACGATGTTAATGCGTTTTAGTGACTAAAGAGCTCTTCAAGTCATTGCTTCTTTCATCAACCGGGTCCAAACACCATACGTAGTGCTCGGCTACTAGCCACCTCTTTGCGGAAAAGTTTGTCCCCGGGGGGCGGAGCAACGGCGCTGCTTATCAACCGTGATCTAGTGTAAAATCCGCTGCAGTAGAAGGGCTAAAAAGGTCCTTTCCCTTATTCGGAGGAAGGGTATCACTGCACTTAAAGGCAGGGAGACTATTGTTCAGTTCTATTGGCGTTGATTTTGCCTATTGGGCACTTGACTTCCCTCATACAGGACACACTTCATATGGATTCAAGATATATCGATGTGTCCAATTTTAGAAGCATCCTTCTACCAAACGCCTATTTTTTGTCCACCAGATTTCTAGTTTCTCAACTGATTTAACACTGTGGTTGGTCACATGAACCCTTTGATCTCTTCAGACCTTCCCATCGACAAGATTTTCGCTTCAGTATGCTCGTCCATCAGTGCTGAGCTTTTGTGGCAGCTAAGATTGTGCACAAGCGGAGTGATATGCGTTTTACCATTACGTATGTACGCATCCTGAATCATGATGTTCCTTCTCCTCTTTTTCCCTTGTCTTCTAGGTGTACATATTCCTACTATTTTGGTTTCAACTTTTCAACGGTTTTTCCGGAAGCAATGCAGTTGATCAACTATCCCAAATTCTCTTCAGCATCACAATGACTGGATTGCCTCCGTTCTTGATGGGCATATGGGACAATCCTATTGACCCTGATACACTGATGCAGAACCCTGTGCTCTACAGGTCCGGAATTAAAGGCAAGGTGAGCAGGTCTTTCTGTCGATACTATAGACTGTGACCTTTTTTCATACATCAGCGATTGGTCCTCACTTAGGAAAACTTATAGCACTCAAAGGTCACCTGACCGACAGTTGGATAGGCTGGACATGCTTGGACTTTACGCATGTGTGGAAGAAATTCCCGCTCAATGGTACCTGTAGTGTTAATGTGCCATGCATTGCCACTATTTTGGACCTGGGAGAGTCTGAAATGGTTGCGAAGATCCTCAGCATATTCTGTAGTCGCAGAGCTGCGAAACTGCATCGTAAGAAGAGTACTTCGTTTGCAACCAATTGTTTCCTTTTGTTGTTTCCTGTGTAAATTTCGTTTTTCTCAGTCATGTTCTCTGTCACATTAGTTTGACACTAGAACTTCGAAGAGAGACGTGAATTGACAATTCCTGTGTGGTCACTTTGATCAGACCCTTAAAAAATCGTCCAGCTGTAGCACCCTTTCAGGGTCTAGCTGCCATGCCACACGAAGGAGGCACGAAGGCTGGGCTACTGCCAGGTTGCCCAAGCCTAGACAGGGGAGGTCGAGTGGCAGAGGTCGGGTTCGAACCACGGACCTTCCGGTCAGTAAATTCACGCTGTAACCACTTGGTCCATCTCGCCCCCAGACCCTACATAGCTGTTGTACGCAAAACGATATCTAAACAGAGTGAAGCGGTACTGAGTGCATGTGAAGAGCCGGAACTTTTGTGGTAACCTTTCTGACTTGTTGAAATAAACCTTGGCTTGATCCTAGCCACTCAAACATAAAATGAGTCCTTATGTCCACTCCACCCAAAATATTCAGAATAAAACAGTCAGTAGTATATTTTTTAACAGCCCAACTCTGTCCATATATTCTCCCTTAATATCAGAGAAATTTCGAATGTAAACTACCTACGAACATTCTCACTTGATTGAGCCTATCACATTTAATAGAATACTGAACAGCTAAACACGGATCGATTAGTTCTGGCAGCTTGCAGCATAGTTTTGAAGCATTGCGGCAAAATCTGGACCTCAAACTATACGTCGCCGTCTGGAGACAATCAGTCACAGCTGTGATAAGAATGGCCTGTGGGTGGTTATACGTCACGAAAGCACGATGTACTTAATACAATGGAATAGCCGCGGTAGGTCAGAAGAGGAATGGCAAATCATGTTAACCTTGCTGCTGCAATTATTTTAAATCACCTGGTTAGTTATCCTGGCGCAACACAACGCTAATATAACTAGCTTAATTGCTCGGGTGTCGCTAGTTCTCTCTTCGCAGCAAGTCCTCAATAAGGATGGAGATGATTTCACGTGAAAATATCAGTAAACTGTTTGATGAGATGTATCATGGACTGCTCTTGTGGTTCGAACCCAACCTCTGCTTCTCGACTTCTCCTGTCTAGGTTTGGGCAAATTGGAAGTATCCCAGCCCTCGTGCTTCCTTCGAGTGGCATGGCAGCTAGCTACCGAAAGGGTGCTACAGCTGAACAAGTTATATACTTTTTGGGATACGTTGCGGATCGGGCAATCTTATCACGTGATTTCATCTATTTTCTGTCTACGATTGTCCGATCAGTCACTCCACTGAGGCTAATTAGATACACTGCCAGCCATTCGCATTCACCACAAGCAAGCATCCAACAAAATTTGACCCCCTCACTTCTTTCGAGAGGTTCTGCTACATTAATACTTCTTTTCGATCAGTTGCATCATTTCAAATCAGTCCGCATTACCTGAATATAAGCCATTCACATGCACTCGGTCATTATACGTTTACCTCGAATTTTTTCCACACTTAGCTGGACGGTGTCAAGTGTGAAAGTGATACTTTCCGTTGCTAAACTTTCACTCACTCTTTCCATTCATTCATTCACTCATTCATTCCCAACTCAACCACTGATATCAGTGTTCCCGACGGCTTGAACACTAATAGCGTTCTAGGTCCTAGTTTATTGACTGGCTCTCCAGCGACCGTGCTCGCGTGTATGTGCTTCCCTGGTTTTGGCACACCCACAACTGCATGTACG